CAACCAATAACTTGAGTTGCTCTGAATTAAAAAAATAAAATAAGAATATAAAAATAAATATAAGAAAGTACACAAATCACACAATTTATTTCATGGTACTATATATAATTATAGAATAAAACTTTTTGAAGAAATCTTTCTTTAAGTGCTTAGTTCCCATTGACTTTAATAAAATAAAACATTTTATAATTACTTGCAGTTATTTTAGTTCTAGTTACATATAATAAAAATGTAATATTAAAAATTATTTGCCGCCCTAAGCACTAGCTTATAGTGTTTATTGGGAAATACGGCACTGAATTTATATTTAATTATCATTACTTTATTACATTAAATTATATATTTTTTAAGGTAGAGAATTGTTATGCCAATCACAAAGTCGAGAGTTTGATGTACAATTCTGAAAGATCAGACTCTAAACCTTATACTACTTAGGATTCGGTTGTTGTATTGATTTGTAAAAAACTTGATTTTAGAACCATTTTACAATTGGAAACAATTACAGACATACTAGTAATAATACCTTATATTAATACCTAATAATATTAATAATTCCTCAAAATAGTAATATAATTTTTTATTATGACATTTCCAGGTGCAGATAATTTTAAATATGTATTATAAGTAATATAAGTATATTCTCAGTATTATAATAAAAGAGACAAGTAATTAGCCAAAAAAAGGATTTAAATCATTTAGGTAGTCCACACCTATGTAAGATAGACAGGGTCCATAAAGACTTAGATATACTGAGAATTCGGAACGGTGAAGAGCTAGCCACGGATAGAGACAGATGTAGGGAAGTGGTGGTTGCGGCGAAGGACCTGAATGGTCTATATTAAGCTCGAAAAAAAAAAGAAGCCTTTACATAAATTTATCTGAAAAAAGCAACAAAAATAAATGTGTTTATTTAGAACCAGAATGACATGAAATAATTTAAACTGTAAAATGTGTGTATAAAAATTAGATTTCTATCTTATATATAAAAAAAGAAGCATATTTTTTAACATCCAATTTCTTATTATAAGAATTATATTTTAAAATCAATGGCAAAATAGGGTATAGTATCATATCCTAACTTAATATTAAAATAAGTTTTCGACCACTAAAATAATATTGTATTATTATACAAAGTGCTTGATTAATAGAGACTTAATACTTACAAATGTTATGTACCTACATCGCATAACATCCAGGATCAACTTATCAAACTTATTTGATAAATAATGACGGTAATTTTTTCTCAAATATAGCTAATTATATACTGCTGTTTATGAAATACTTCTGTATTTTCCTGCTATATGTTATACAGTAAAATGTTCTCTCAGTACCTCTCAATATTCTAAAGGCTAGCACACACTAGCGTTATTTTACCGCACCGTAATTTTACTGCGCGTTTTGTTAAAATACATTAAAATGAATAGAGCACAACACATACGTGTCGCGCAGTAAAATTATGGCGCGATATTTCGAAAACTGTCGCGTGCACCTTGACTATACCGTGCGTTAAAAATACCACGCAATAGATATTTTCTGTTAATATGCTCTGAATTAAATGAGCAACTTCACATTGGCCGTAATAATCGCGTGACAGTCGGATAGTTTGTTATTTATCGTTGATTATAGTAGTCGTATTTGTACTACTAGCCAAATTGCAATGTCAATCGATTTCAACATGTCCTCAACAGATGAAGAAATTCATATTCTTTAAGAAGATATTTTGGACGTTGATCTTTTGATAATATCAGTAGAGGAAAGGCCGTTATTATGGAATAAGACGTTAGATTCATACACGGACAGAAATGAGAAAAGGAATTGCTAGAAAGACATATTTTGTATAATGAAACCGGGATTTAAAGAGCTGGATATAAAGTGGATACCACGTCTGTCATGTTATCATACACTGAAGAATTTTTGTTTAAAACGCCAAATATTGTGCGGTAACATAACGCTCGTGTATTGGTCGATGTTTTTACCACGCGTTACATGCAGTAAAATGTGGCACAATAAAATAACGCTAATGTGTTGTCAACCTAGGTTAGAGGACGCCATAGCCTCATGTGTTGTTTCCGTCTGACAAATGTACAACACAGCGAATTAGCGTTAAGTAGTTCAAATGTAGTAATGTTATAATCAAGCTTTAAAAGAAGAATATTATATGTATTTTTTTGGTCAGTTTTTTCCAATATTTTAATTTTAAAGTGAGTTATAAGTGTGTAAAATATTACAATTAAAAAAAAAAAAAAACTCATAACTCACTAAAATTTAAAATATCGGAAAAAACCAACCAAGAAAACACAAATAATGTTAATTGTAAGTATTACTATAGGTTAATTTACTCTAATATTAAAGATAATACAACTTAAACTATTTGAACTATTTAACACTTAAATAACTGAACCTTAATTTGCTATACCTAAAACCTACGTAGATGCATGTTTGAAATGCAATTGTTACTGACGTATTGCAAATTACAATTCAAAGTTTTTTTGCGCTTTGCCCCTCCTTAGATATTGGTTATTTTGTGTTTAACTTCCCTTCCCACAATCCTAAAAATCTCTAAACTACCCATTCCTTCCCCAGCCACCCACCATGAGAATAGTAATAAACTAGGTAATAATATAACTAATATGCGTATTACGAATAACATGTGTCGATCACTATTATGTAGCCTTGAAAATTGAATTATTTTTCTCCGGCTAAAATCTTGTATACAATTTCAAAAGTATTCCAATACCATCATTCGAAACTAGAAAAATTACATGGATTACTGAAGAAGAGCCCTGTTTATCATTTTCACGGTTAACTTTTAAGACTAGTCCACAATTGTAGTGAATACTGTTCAAAATTACTTAAGACACTATTTATTTATCTTAAATTATATAAACAAATTATGTTTTAATAAAAAATCCAAAAAATTGCCTCAGTGCTGTTAACTCTCATTTTTGAGAACCCATACAGTTGAATCCTCTTAATGGGGAGAAATAGGCAAAGTCCCGAACGAATGTATTCGTTTTAGGCAATTTAACATCGTTTATTGGGAACAAAACATCGGTTATAAGGGGCATATAATTTATATATACAGGCGCTTTCAGCTTACTGGTCCACCGGGATACAGGGAAAATCCCGGCAAACCCTCTTAAAAATTATAAGATCTAGTCCTATTACCAATTAGGTATCTGTAGTTTCAGTTAAATTCAATAATTTTATTATTTTTAACAATTTTAATTGAATAATTGAAACGAGAAAATTACATAAAGGAACACAAATAATAAATTTCGTTGGTTGTTTACTGATAATGCAATTTTTAGTATATTAATCGCATAACTACTAGCTTTGATCATATTTAACTATTTTATACTTATACATAATGTCATTGATTATAAATACAATAATGTATAAATATAATAGTATTTATAAATGATGTATAATATATATGTATTATATTCATCGAAAAAAAATTTTTATTTTTATTTAGAATTCTAGTGAATTATAATAAGAGCACTAGACATGATAAAGAGGTATGCGGGTACGTGGTATACTCGGACTGTATTTGTTTATAATAAAGTTATTTATTAATTACTTGAATTACCTAATAATTATCAAAGATAATTTTGAATATTCTCAGGAAAATGATAGTAATATAATGGGTACAAGAAAAAAATGTAATTCATGTTTATTATACATAACAAATGTTATTTATGAGTTCAATATGAATTCTCTAGAGCAGAAGTTGCGAACCTTTTTTGGTTCAGCTACCAAATTTTTCCTTTTTAGATTTTGAAATCGCTCACATGCCTAAAGACATTACATTTTCTAAAAATAAAATTACAGATTTATTATATTATTTTTATTAAATTTTAGTCATTCTTAGTGAAACACAAGCAGCAATTGTTTCATTGGTCAAAATATTTTTTTCCTATTTAATTAAATAAAATTAAATTTGTTATGGCGAATAAGCTTTCAAAAACTAAAATTTACAAAAAATATGAAAGAATAAGGAATATTGCAATTTTTAAAACAGTTATCATTTGTTTATTTGAATTTCTTATAAGTTATAACCAACATTTTATAAATAGTATATATATATATATTTTTTTTTTGTACAATTTTTAATAATTTAAATTTTTTACGCGTGTCATTAAAATTTGGTCAGCGTGTCAAAGGTTCGCCACCCCTGCTTTAAAGTATAATGGATTATTCGGAGTTTATAAGTTTCTTTTAAAAATTCTTCTTAGTCAAGTAACGTGTGAACGATCGTTTTCTAAACTTAAAATTATAAAAACACGTTTAAGAAATTGTTTAACACAAGATAATTTGGAATCATAGTTTTTGGTGAACTGTGAAAGGGAATGAAATCAATGTATTATATTAAAAAAAATACGAGCCGGGGGGGGGGTGAATGCCCCCTTCGTCCCCCTCAAATATACCCTTGCATTAAATCATGCCTAATGTGAAGAGAATCAATATTTATAGATTCTTGAACCAAATGGAAAGAATCTCTTGAAATTTGACAGTGATTTATATAAACATTTTTTTTTAAAAATTTTAATTTAATATTATTTAGCTCATTAATATAAGTAAAATAATGATTAGACCAAACTAATGACCTATGTTTGATCTTACTAGTGAGCAATACAAGTTTTAAAGACACAAGTGATTTATAAATTCTGTGATGTTTTTATTTATAAAACCTTACATTCTATAAGATTTATTGACTATCATTTTATCAGTGGCGGTTTATCCCAAAGATGGGCCTGTGTGCAGAACCAAAAAAAGGCCCCCCCCTTCAACTTTTTATTCTAAATAATATATAGACATAGATACATAAATTCAAATTTAAAGTAAGAGTTTTTATTCTAAAATTCTAAAATCTTATGCAATTACACAGGTACTTTCTATTTTTATTAAAATTTTAATTACATAAAAAATAAGATGAAATTCCATACAAATAAAATAACATATTCTATAAATAACGATAAAACTAAAATAATAATAATTCAATGGAAATTTCGTTTGCGTGCTTTTTTTTCTGCAAAATTATTAATTATTTCTTTTAAATTTAATTGACGAGCTCGATCGTTTTCAATAGATAGAATTCCAAGTCCACTTAATCTTTCTTCACACATTGTGCTCCGTAAATAATTTTTGATTAATTTTAATTTTGAAAATGAACGTTCCGCTGAAGCAACTGTCACAGGGAGTGTCAAAAATAACATACATGCTGTACATATTTCAGAAAATGTTGTTGCTAATGTGGGGTTCTCTATTACAAGTAATTCAGTAATTGCTTTTACCGATGTTCGTTTTGTAATTTCTTCTTTAAAACAAGATCTGAACGATAAAATTTGACCAGCAAGAGCATTAGATAAATCAGAATCATAATATTCTACCAATTTATTAGCGGAGTTATAAATTTGTTCGTCTGTTAAATTAATTAACGAATTCGGTTGAATAACTTCAAATATTTTGAATACGTTATTTAAACTGGTAAAACGTTCTTCTAATTGTATTATTGCATTATCCAATGTTAAATAAAATATATTTATTTTAAAATGTTCTTCTGCTGAAGTAAAGCAATAATTTTGGAGGATTTCGTCATAAAATCGTTTTACTCTTCAGGTTCTTTTTTCTTGAAATTTTTGTGGTACACCCCATTTTTTTTGCGATTTTTACTGCTATTTCGAAAAAATCACTGTATTGTGACCTGTATTCTTGGAGTTTTATCAACGCAGAATTCAGCAAAGAAACTGCTGTGCTCAGTTCTTGTTTAGGAGACTGAAGAGCTTTTGATACAACATTTACAGTTTTCAGAATTTTGCCAATGAAAATTACACTGAATATAAATTGAAAATCTTCCATATGAACTTTTAAATAATTTGCTTCAAATATTTCGTCCTTATTTTTGCTTCTAAGAATTATTTGCGATAAACATTTTAAAATATCAACGTAACGATGTCGAATAGCTAATAAAGAATCATACCTTGATGACCAACGAGTGGTACATAATCTTTTTAATGTAATTGAAATATCTGATGATTCTGAAGATAAAAGTAATTGCCAACGTTTAATACTATTTGAAAAAAATGTATAAATTTTTTCCACAAGTCCAAAGAAAGTTTTTACTTCCGTTGATGAATTCATTGCATCGTTTAGAACTAAGTTCAAATTATGTGAAGCACAATGGTATATGTAGCCAATTTTTGTTTAGATTTTAACCTAGCCTGGACACCTGAATATACACCACTCATGTTGGCAGCCCCATCAAACCCTTGACCACGAAGTTTTGACAAATTTAAATTATTTTTTATAATACATGGACCATTAGGTTGACAAGGGCCTTGAGAAATTATAAAACGTTTTTCTTGGTAACTGAGTGGTTCTTTAAAATGAACTTTGTCAGTAGGAAAACGTTCACAAATTAAACTGTTAAAAATATTAGGTTCAACATTTTTAGTATTAATAGTGTCAATGCTAGATGTTGCAGTTGGTTCTGAGACGGAATTACTGGCAGTTTTAATTTTATTTAATAAAATACCTGGGTTATCAATATCTTGCTCTTCTGTTTCTTCGTGGTTTTGTTTGAAATATGTGTCAATTTTCGGCATCCGCTTAACAGATTCTTCTCTTTGTTTTTTTATTTTGCGTTTCGCAGCACCACTGGCAGATTTTGATGCCATTATAATAGTAATTAATAAAATAATATATTTTATTGAGTTTTTTGTAAATTATTTCAATAGACACTGAACGACGACAAAGAACAAGACTGAGTATCGCACTATCACAAAATAATACAACAAAAGTAATACGATAATATTATACGATAATATTTAATCGCGTAAATTCATGTCATAGACGTCTATATTATACGTGTACCGGTATACATAATACAAAAAAAATAAAAATAAAAATAATATGGATAAGCAAAATCGACAAGGAGATAACGAAAAAACCATGGGAAACAGATTGCTATAAATAACGTTTAGTCGCCGTCACAGAAATACAGTAGGTACATCACAGAAATACAATATCTATATATTTTATAGATTATAACAATGATATCAGAATTGAGAAAATGAAAATCTTTTAAAATTGAAAACAATTTTTTTACTTTTTCGTACATATTAACTGTATTTATTTAATTCTTTTTTTTTTTGAGGAACATTGATCAATAATGGGCCCCCCACGGCCCCACGGGCCGAGGGCCCGTGGCATTTGCACACATTGCACACATGTATGACACGCCACTGCATTTTATGATTTAACTTAAAGGAAAGATTAGATTCAAAATAAATGCCTAAATCTTTAATTGAAAAACATCTTTCAAGAGGATATTTATTAATGAAATAATTTTTGAATAAAGCACTTTTACTACGTGAGAAAGTTAAAACTTTATATTTTTTATAATTTAAAGAAAGATACGTTACGTTGACTCCATAAAATTAGTATATTTAAGTAAGATTGCAAAAAGTTAAGGTCATCAGAAGATTTAATTTGACCATAAAGTTTTACATCATCAGCAAACATTAAAATATTTACTGGGCTATCTAAAATAGGTTAAAAAAAGGTCACGGCAAAATATCCTAGACCCATTTTTGTAGCCTTTTTAATCGGACACCGAATTTTTAGGTCATATTTTTTGTGCGCCATCATAACACTCAATATTAATTATTATTTGCAAATTATGAAAATCATATATTTCTCCATATGATGAATATATCAACAGAAATGATTTGACTCAACGGAGAGTATCTTTGAAAAATAATAAACATTATACGAAAAAAATATCGTTATATCGTGAGCATATTAGGATTTTTGAACGATTTATGCACCTGTTTAAGTCACAAACAGTGAATAAAATACAAATAATTTAAAAATGTTTTATACTAATTTACAAAAACAATCAACATGGTTCAGATTTGAAACTTTAAATGCTGGGGCCTCACGAGTGTACATCGTACGCGCGTTATAACGATTGTATATTTTGACGCACGTAATCTGTTTATAAGACCGTTAAATATTACGACCATACCTATATGCATTATTTTTGAAAAAATAGATCGTTCAGATTTGTTGTGGTACAAGACATAGGTGTAATGGATTCTAAATAAATTGTTACGTTCTCGTGTTTGATGTACTTGAACTTAAGAAACCAGCAGTAAAGGAGAAAACTTTGGGTTCACCCTATTAACTCTGAACGTCAGTCACATGGCCATTATCTTCAATTGTATAAGCAACTTCGAAAAGATAATGTTGTTTTTTAATTATTTTCGTAAGTTGATAAGTTCATTTGATGAGTTATCGTACATAGAAAATGATATAAAACGGCAAGATACAAATATTAGAATTTGATAGTAAAGACAAAGCTATTTCAAACCTGGCTGATTTTTTTTTGTTTTTGTCTTTGTAATCTTCATTTGAAGTATCCCATAATAACGGCCGTTTTTGAACTTCATTTAACAGAAATTCACTATTAATATTAACCATATCGATTTTTTTATGGATAATTTATTATAATTTTTGAATTTGAATTTTGAAAAATTACACACAACACATTTCAAAACCAACACAATGTTATTATTTGCATATACGCAATTTGGGGAGGAGGCTTGGGTGTGCTTAGCACCCGCATTTTTGAAATTAGCACTCCCAAATGTGTTTATGTTAATTTACATTTAAAGATTCATTACTCATTATGTATAGAAAAACAGAGTTTTTATTGTATAAATATATTTTTTATAAATAGTTCTTTTTCATACCTGGAAAAACTATTAAGATTTAAAAAATGACCTATTTAAAGCACCACCACATGCCAATTTAAAATATAAAAAATCCTAGAAAAAAACTTTTGGGCAAGTATTTCTATCCGAAAAAGTTTTAAAAAAATAAGATACAAACATCATTATAAAACCATTATATCCTTCGCTTTAGCCAGAATCTAAAAGTGATCATGTGATGAAATATTTGTGTATACAGACAGGTAATTAATAATTAATAATTCGTTATACGCGCAATAAAAATATTAAATCAAAGTGAACAATTTAAATTTAGAAATATTCATTTATTTACCAAATTATTTTAGTAACTGTTGAGAGTGGCGGATAGGCCCACCAGGAATTCGGGATTTTCCCGGTAGGCCCCACCCCATATTTATATATGGGGGCCCTTAGCCCTTTCACCGAGTTCTGTACTTAATTGAAGATATATCTGTAAATTTTAATTACTATCAAGATTTATTTATTTTTATTATAATATAAATCTTCAACATTAAACACTCTAAATAACTAATACTAATTAACTAGTAATTACAAGTACTATGAGCAATTTGTAAATTATTATACAGTGAGTTCCGCTTAATGTGATCACTTTGGTGCAGGTCATTTTGATTCTATTAACCGGTTGATTCTAAAAAAAATTTAAAATCTATGTTTTCTAAATTTTGTAAATTCGGATGTGCTGTACAGTTATCAAGAAGTAGTAAAATACGTCTTACTTTTTTTATTTCTCTGTCCCATTTTAGTAAAAATTCGGTAAAAATTATACTAGTCATCCAAGCGTTTGAATTAGCGTAATAATCAACGGGCAATGTTTTAACGCTTCGAAAACAGCGTGGATTTTTACTTTTACCAATAATTAAAGAACGTCTTTTATCCGTACCTGACATGTTGCAAACCAGCAGAATCGTAAGTCTTTGCTTTTGTTTTTTACATCCATTAACCGTAGTCCCTTTAAAATCAAAAATAGAATCTGGTAGAGCTCGATAATACAAACCAGTTTCGTCTGAATTATATACGTCATCAGGTGCATAATTAGACGATGCAATACAATTATTTAAGTAATCTTCTGCAGCTTGAAAATCTGCATCTTTTTTTCTCCACATGTTTTTTTAAAAACAATATTGTTTCTGTTTTTCGAACGAATCAACCACCCGATCGTTGGACTAAAATTGTCTACACCTAATTGCAAAGCTAAATTTATAGATTTTTCTTATAAAATAGAATTACTGACCGGTACATTTAAATTTCTAGCTTGCTGAAACCATCGTAATAAAGATTCTTCTACATCAACATTTTGCCCATTTCGTTTTCGTTTTCGAGAAAGAGGCAAATTTTGTTCTTCATGTTCAACAATTTCCTTACGATTTTTTAAAATTTTGTTTAACGTTGGTTGAGGGATTTTCAGAGCTAATGTGGCTTCTCTTTGAGAACATTTATCCAATTTATCAAAACGAACGAGTATATCTTTTTTTTCTTTTATAGTTAAATCATTTCGTTTGGTCGACATTTCAAAAAATACGTCTGATTGTGAACAATAAACCGAATAAACTAAATGACACAAGTACACGACGCCGCGACGTACAAAGATAATTGATTGACATAATGTACAACGATATACAATAATACTGATAAATTCAAAAATAAAATGGTTTTTATAAATTAATTAGTTTGAGATACCATAAAAACGATAAGATTGTTCATAAAAGTGATTCAATTATCCGGTACTTAGTGATTCTAATAAAAGGTCAATTTAACATTAGTAGCATACAATTTGGTTTGGGATTTTCATTTTTGATTCTAATAAACGGTTGATTCTATAAACTAGTGATCACATTAAGCGGAACTCACTGTATATTATATTGTAATATAATAATATGTTGCGAGCGGCTTATTTTTTATGGGCCCTAGCCTATTTAGGCCCTTCCAATTCCTTCCCGGTAAAAAAAATGTATGCCTATCCGCCACAGACTGTTGAATTGTACGGGTTGGGGGTGTCTATAACCATTATGGAACACGAAAAAGTTAGAAGGACTTCAGCACCCCCAGTTTTTTCATTGAAATTGCGTCCTTGATTATACGTCTGTATAATTGAGCGTCCATATGGCCATTCAAGTTCGAAACAACACATTTCTACAACATACGTATACATGTTTAGACGTGTGTTGTAGCATAATACGTAGAGTCGAAAATCAATGTCCGTTCATACGCACGTACGTTTTGACACACGTCGTTGAGTGGCCCAATCTATAAATATTAATATAATTCTACAACGGACGTCAAAATTAACATGCGTTACGAGGTACATTAAAACGCTACATTAAACGCTCGTGTAGCCCCATCCTAAAAGTATAAAATCCTAAAAAAATGCATTATTATTTAATAACCATGTTTATAAGTCGAGTACGTATAGAATGGAGTAATAGTTATAACATTACATAAAACTTAACCTTGTAAATTTGTAAAATTATCTCCCTTCCATATCATTAACGTATTGATAGTAACATTATCCGTGAATAATAACAATTGTAATGTCACAGAATACCAACAACTATGAACCGTAGAATATAGACACATATAGATGATAAAAATGAATTGCTGTCCCGTGTTCTCGTCTGGCAGTCGGCACTCGGCACCGATAGTCGAATCACAACGGTTTATTTTTTTGTGTACAAAACATTCTTATCATAATTTCGGTTTTGTTTTGAAAGTGGCTAATAAGATTATTTATAATTGCCAATATTTTATACTATATTATTACGATTAATTTTTACTGTTTAATGTTTAAGAATTTAAAACGATTGTATTATGAAAGTTAATATTAAAATTCTATCATTAGTAACCGACTTTAATTTTTAGTGTTTTGTATTTTTTTAAATTATGTTTGTGCAATGCATTTGATTTATATTGTATGGAAGTGTTTTTTATGTTCTGCATTATTTTAAAGTAATGGGATATTTTCAATAACTAGTAAAGGTAATACGTACAAGACGATAAAATGAAACAATTTAAAGTAGAATATTTAAGTACTTGTACAGTCAACAAACGTCTCACAAACCCAATGATACCTTGGATTATTGCAGAAATAAAAAAAAAATAATTTTCGCAAAAAAGTAATTATAATTTTTATTTGTTTCTATATTTTAATAATAGTGCATGGTTATATATATTTTTAGCATAGCCTTTGTATAATAAAATAATTATCATATCAAAATGAATCAGACAATCAAGAAATAATTATTATTACTTATTATTTATTTAGATTAAAATAGATATGTTTCTAAATATGTTTGGTTTTGTATTATTATTTATTTTATATTAAGGAAAAACTTTAATTTTTAGTAGATAAAAAAAATAATTATAGGTAATTTTCAATTATCATTCATTTTCATAACAGTTTAGTATATGTACTTCTTGAAAAAAAAAATTGTACAAATAAATAAATTAAAAAAAAATAAATAAATTGTAAATAAGTATTTTACTATCTTGAAAAAAAATTAGTAAAATATTTATTTAAAAATAAAAAAAAAAATTTTTTATTATTTAATAATATTTTCTAAGTTTGTGCCCTTGTGTTATCTTTCTCATGTTTTTTTTTCAAATATAAATTCAGAAAACTAGTCACTAAAAATAAGATTCCAATTTTCACTAGATCTGGTGAAAATCTACTTCTTATTTTTGAGTTAGCCAGCTTTGGTTGGTTAGTGTTTACAAGGAACACTTGTTGCTAATACATCTAAATAATTTTGTTATTGAAATACTTTGATTGTTTTGACATGTTAATGTCAGTATATTTGTTTGATATCGATAATAATATTTATAAATATTGATATTGTTGTGCATCACTTTTTAATATATAAATTGAGATTAGTATTATACATTTTATTTTAAATAAGTACACTTATTTAATGTATCATAATTTATTCTGTATATTTAGTATAATCGTGTGAAATTATTATACTTTAGTATTGAATTATGTATCTAATATTTATTTTATAATAGATTATGAAATTTGTTACATAAAATTATTAAATTTAAATAAAATATTAAATAAAAATTAAAATAGACATGAAATTTATTACAATTTAATATATCCTATTCAATAAATACTAGTTTTTTTTTACTATTTCATAATGTATTTAAATTTACAAATCTTATTCATAAAACAGTTAATGCTTAGGTTAATGCATACATGTATATATCCATATTAATTCAATGATTCAATATTATTTATTGATGTTTTATAAATAATCTATTTGTAATTATTCTGTTTCAATTGAATAACTTCTCATTAATTAAAATTTTTAATATTGGTTTAAATTAGTAATTTTTATGTTTTACCAGGTAAGGATTGGAATAGAAGGCGTAAGTCTCATGATTTATGAAAATTGGGATTGTAAAAATAAGTTAATTTTTCAACATGAATTAAAGTATATAACTAGATTGGCATTTTTCAACGGTGATGTCGCTACATTTTTCTATGCAATAAGAGATGTTGTAGATGAAAACAATGTTCATTGTCATGTTTATAATACAACTCAACCAGATGTAGTAAGTATATTTTTTATTTCATATAAATAATTTTAAGTTGTATATTATTTATTGTAAAGTGTATTTTCTGTTGATGGTATATTGATATATTGGTCTTGAGCTAAAATTTTTTAAAAAAAAAGGCAAATAGGTATTAACATTTTTTAAACCATTTCATGATTTGTTTATTTTTCATGAAAAGTATAATAAACTTAAATCAATTAACAGATATTATTCTCATTGTTTATTTATGAACAATATTTAATATTATAAATAATTTAATTTTACTGGTCAATTGTAATAGTAAAAACTTCAATAATAACATTGAAAATAATGAGTTCAGACTATGATGTTGGTTAGATGCATGATTTAACATAATTCATTATAGTCAAGGACAAGGTGAACAAGTTGCTATTATATAGTTAATACTACTGTATATTATTTAAGATAAACGTAAAAAATATATAATCATTTTTCGTCTTAATATTTTTTAAAATAAATATTTTTTAAACTAAGTAGTATTTAAGTAACATTCTTCTTGCATTACAATAATAATGATAATAATTAACCATTATAAATATTAAATTTAAATATTTTTAGTATCATATTTAGAATATTTGTTTATATATTCCATTTTTTGTTTTTTTAATTATATTAGTTATAACTAGGGCTTGAATGTTAAAACAAATGCTTTTTTTTTTATGTATGAGATAGAAATCTAATTTTTATACATTAATTTGTTTCACGTCTTTCTGATTCCAAATAAAATTTATTTATTTTTGTTTTTTTTGGGCTTTTTATGTGTAATTGCTTTTTTTTGCTTTTTTGCTTATTGCTTTTTCAGTTATTTCAGTTGTGGAATTTTCATATGTTCTATCCTATAGTAATAAAAAAAAATTTATTTAACTAATAAGAAATGTGATCACCAGGAATACGGAATAAATAGTTGTATTGGATTATGTTTTTGTTATCGACTTGATTGTTAAATGTATTAAACATATAGATTATCGATCTACAGATAGTTAGGTCTTTGACAAAATGTATAAAAACTGTCTTAGATGCAGAAAATAAGTTAAATGAAGCTATTGGAACTGCAATTCCGGATAAACTAAATTGTGTTCTTTTGTAAAACAAAGGATGGAAGCAATTACTAGATATTAATAAAATACTGAATTGCGTTTAATCAACTAAAATGAATTATCATTGGTTTGATTGAAACTAAACCTCTTGCATAAAGTATGCACCGATAACTTCAGTGGATGTAAAGCATTCATTTTCTATGTATAAAATTATTCTGTCAGATAATAGAGTCAGTTTCACTACTACAAATCTTACAAAATACATGGTTGTTAATTCTTTTAGTTGAAATTAATATAATTTAAATTACATTTTTTTATTTAGTTTTATTACTAATTCATGTTAATTGTTGGCCATACTTTTTTTAAAAAATAAATATGCTTCATTCCTGCTTTTTTAGTACAATTTTATGCTCCTTTTGTTATTTATTATGCTTTAAAATCTGAGCCCTAGTTATAACTTATGTTTTTTGCATTTTAATTTTCTTTAATAGCTTTGATATTTTTGAGTTTCTAGTGACAATATAATTACTTTTAATTGTCTTTTAAAACATTTTGATAAATATAATAGTATTGTAGTAATGGTATAATGTAAAATAATTATTTTAATATTTTCTTAGAAAAATTAGAACTTTATGATAGATTGGATAGAATATATTAATTTATTTCATAGTAGGTAAATAACAAAATATATCATAACAATAAAGTATGTTAATGAATTAATTAGAATACGACTGTAGTGAAATTATGTTACATTTTAAATGTTTTATTTTCCATAGATTTACTAAACAAAAAATTGTTAATTTGAAAAATTTAAAAATGTATAACTCATAAGATTTTTTTTTTATTTTATTTATTATTCTGAAAATTTTTAAGTACTGGGATATTAAAATTATAATATAATAATGTATTCAAATAATTTTAGTAAATATTAATACATTTTAATAAAAATTTATTTAAATATTAAATAATACTAATAAAGTTTACAACTTTAATTGAAGAAAGTTATGTGTTTAAAGTACATTTTATTTTATAAATTGTATTAAAATAAAATAAAATAGTATACTTAATTATAATTTAATATAATTTATGAAATAAATATTCATGTGAATTAAAGGAATTAAATTTAAAATAATTTTCATTTAATTATGTATTATTTGGAGAACTTTCCATAAATTAATAACATTTATACTTACTTATTATAGTTGATGGTGGTTTTCCCTTTTATACTTTGAATAATATAAGCAAAAAAAATTATAGATTTTATTATATATTTATATAAATGTATAGTTAAATATCATTAATGATGTAAAAACCATTGGTTAATTCATACTTGTTTTAGGAGTTTTGTTTTTATCAAATTGTTATTAAAGTAAAAAACATTTATTGTATTATGAATAAAGATTTATTAAAGATATATTTTTTATTATAAATCAATTTACTATAAAATAATACATTAAATCAATTAATATAATTTATAATAGATATTTTTTAATTTTGTGATAGTGTATGTCATACTGTATTTAAACAAATAGATAATTTGAACATCTTCCAATTTCTAAATTTAGAATGCCTAGAGAGTATTTTGTTTTGTTCCACAATAATTCATTAGTTTTGGTAATCAGTAGTTTGAAAATATTCAGATTTAGTTATTTTTTTTTATTGGTTTTTCAGGTAATGGAATTATTTACCACAATGAAAGAAAACTCGCATAAATCATTACAAAATACTGGACGTTCTCTTAGTAATGCACAAACTTTAACATCCTTGTGTGCTGATATATCTCCCAATTCTTCTCACTTTTTTGAGGTGATTATATGTATATGAACACCATAATTATATTTAATTTAAAATAAATACATAAGTGGTCTTATATCTCAGTTTTTATGTTTGTTTAAAGGTTGTAATAATTTTTGATTTATATTTTATGTTAAATTTTTATTATTTTAGAATTTAATAAAATATAATAAATATTATAGGTATTATATGTCGGTAAAATCAGAGTATCACAAAAAAAGATTCCTCATTCATTTATTGATGATGCATTAGAAAAATTTCGACTACATGAACTGGAAAAAAGTAAAAAATCAAGTAGTACTAATTCTTCAAGACGAGGATCCCAAGTAAATATATATTCATTATTTGTAGAGTTAAAATATCAGTAGTATTTATTAATTGATATGTAATTAGAATAAAAATCAAAAAATTTATTTATTTTTGTTTTTAGTCTTCAGATCAAAATTCAACTTATCTTTCAGATCCAAGGCGAAGTTCAATGATAGTTTTATCACCTGGCATTGAAAATCAAGGTTATTCATTTGGAGCAGAAAAACAAAAAGATGCAGAGTAAAGAAATTAAAATATATATTACTCATATATTCATATATCTATATTGAAGTATAACTTTTGTATTTTAGAATTATAAGAACAAGATCTGGATCCATAAATTATCCTGTTAAAAACTTAGAAAATGGTGTATGTATATATTTTTAGAATATCAAACAATTATTTTTTATGCTTCGACTTCATATTTTTAATATTATTTTTAGGGACAAAATAGTAATATTGCTGAAGAAATTAACAGAACAATGGTTTTTCAAATTGGTCGAAGTGATTTACGTCTAATAAGTCCTGATCGTAAACAAATACTTTTACATAAACAATTAAAAGATGTAATTCATTGTGTTCATGTAAGATATAAATTAATATATTTTTTTAAATTGTATAATGTAAAATATAATTATATTTAGGGTTCTAGAAATCAATTACATTTTGGTTTCACATGTAGAGATTCTTCATCAAATGAAAGTTGTATTGGGTATATATTTAAATGTGAATCAGAATCAGTTGCAAATGAATTAGTTACAGGTAAAATGCATTTTATTTTATTAACATTTCCAATAAATAAATTTACTTTACAAAATGATATAGCTATTAATTTGGCTTCCAACAATACTAATGAAACTCTGAAGAAGGAAAAGCAAATTATTGTATCATGTGAACATTGTCCTATGGTATGGTTTCATAAGTTATGTTCTGACATTGAAAGTATGTTTAAAATATTGATATAATTTTTCAAAAATGAACTTTTATTTTTTTTATTTTTTAGACCTTAATGAACACAAAATTCAAGCAGTAATATTTAAACAATTAGATACATTGCCAGAAGATGATCAAGAAGTTGTTCTAACTAAATTACATGGTTTAGAAACATTAAGTAAAATAAGTTTAAAAGAACAAAATGAACTACTTATGATGTTGTTGCGAACACATTGTGAAAGCAAACAAATGAGACATATCCATGATTCAGCTGAAAATAGGTTCGAAATTGGAAATTATTATATCATTTTATATCTATAATTAATCATAAAGTTATATTTTAAACATTCAGGCATGAATTTTTAAATCAGTATCTTGGTGGAAGCACAATTTTCATGAAAGCTAAACGTTCACTAACTAGTTCGTTTGATCAATTAATGAAAAGGAGAAGTTCAAAAGATGATGTAGGAATAATGTCAATCAAAGAAAATTCTTTACCAAGTAACACTGCATTTTACAAGGTAATTATTAAATAATATCCTTTTATCAAATCATTATAGATAATATTTGTATATATTAATAATAAATTAATTAAAATAGTATACACTTATAAAATGTTTTCTATTGTGGAGTTAAAAATGATATACTAATAAATATATTCTTAGTTAAATTATCTCTATTCTAAAAGTCTAAAAATCAAAGTAAACATGTCTAAATTATACAATTTAGTTGATTATTATTTGCATTGTGTGGCTAAGGGTAGGTGAACTAGATAAGTAGACTAATCCTATAGAAAATGACTTCCTCTGATTTTATTAAAATTTACAATTAATATTTATCTTCAACATTTATACAATTACACATAGTTTTAAAATTAAGCATAATTTTTAAATTTAAATGTGAGTACACACTTGGTTCTCTAACTTCTAACTCTGTAAATGCTTATTATTATAATTAATTTATTGCAATATGTTTCTCTTAATTATCCATAACATATAAATCAACAATTCATAACTTATATAAATAAATTATTTAAAATTTGTATTATAATTCTACTTTATTTCAGGAAAATTCTCAAAAAGCTGATTTAAGTTCAAGATTATTGACACAGCAAGTAATGCCTAATACTAAGTTACAACCTAAATCAGAAGTTAACTTAGCTCAAACTAAGTCTCATAGCAGCCCAGCATCAATGATGAATATGTGAGTAAATATAAAAATGTGTATTTTCATTTTCCATCCCATAAAAATTATTATTATAGGTTTTTAAAAGTTGGTCAATCTCCTAAATCCTCTACTATTTCAACTTCAGATAATGATTCTGATGAACAAAATGATTTGAATACAGGAAGTTGGCGTCAAGCAATTTTCAAAAATGTTGTTACCCCTAATAAACAAATAAAAGGTAAAATTTAAATAAAACTAAATATTTATTTAAAATTTTCTTATTCTATTTGGTTCTTCAGATACTGAAAGTTGTAAAAAACTAGATTCTGCTGATTTAAGAGCATTATGGAAAAAAGCAATAAATCAACAAGTTTTGTTAATTCGAATGGAAAAAGAAAATGCTAAATTAAAAGGTAGTTTATTAATTATTGATGAATATTATATACAATTAATACATTTATAATAAAACTTTGTCCAATAATATGTGCCAAGTTTTTATTCTTTTAACTTATCTGGCCATATGATCATTACTCTGTACTTTTTTTTTAATGGTTAAAATTGTAATTCTTCTTAGGGTATTACCGGCAACTAGGACCATTCCGTCAAATATCCAATTCATCAGGCCTCTCTGTCCGCCACTCTTGTTCTCCAATTTGGGCTACCGTTCAACAATTCCATGTCTCTTTTTACTATATTTTCTAATCTTAAACGAGGTTGCCCAAGAGGCTTCTTTCCTGTTGGGTTCTCTGCCAATACCATATACAGTAGTGGATTCTGACTATACTACGCTTAACCAGCCCACTTTAGCCTCCTAATCTGGATTATATCCAATATGTTTGACTTCTGAAAGAGTTCCTCCAGTCCTTTGTTTTTTTCTTATTCTCCATACTTTAGTTATCGAATATTTTATTGGGCTAAAGATCTTTCTTAAAATTTTCCTTTCTGGAATAATCAATTAATTTTCCTCTGTTTTTCTTAATGTCCATGTTTCTGATCCGTATGTAATTATAGGGTATAGTATATAATTGTAACTTAATTTCTCTCAATAGAGACCTTGATTTTAGTATCTTTGTAAGTCCGTAAAGACATTTGTTTTCCAATAGGACTCTTGCAGCTATTTCCTTTTTCAGTTTTATTTTTTTCAATCAGTACTGATCCTAAATATTTTAATTGTTTGACTCGTTTGAATTCATGGTTGCTCACTCATAAGGAAGGATACATTCTTATACTATCTCTTCCCACCATCATGTATTCTGTTTTGCTTTTGTTTATTTGTAAGCCAATCTTCTTTGCTGCCTCCTCCAAGCGGTCGCATAGTGTTCTAGTCCATCTTGTGATTTATCTATAAGGACCAAATTGTCTACATAGGCCAATAATACTATGGGAGACCCTTGTAATGGCATCCCCTCCTGAGGACCAATATTAGTTTCTTTAACTTTTTCTAATACCAGGTTAAATAGATTAGGTGACATAAGATCTCCCTGTCTTAGGCCTGAATTCACAAATACTGGGTCGGTTTTCACTTTTCCTATTCTTATTTTAATAATAAACATTTCAATTAACTTTACTAATTTTCATGGTAAGTTATACTCTCTAAGAATGTTCATCAAAATTAAATATAATTAAAATCTTAATAATATTAATTTTTTTTTAAACTTGTATGTCTTAAAATTAACTACATATTTAATATTTATCCATATATTTTTACACTGTAGTACCTCGATTATCGCCCATTCTTTCATCTACCAATGTCTGTGGAATTATTATTTTTATCAATAATTATTTATTTGTGTACAAGTGCTTATGAATATCTCTAAACCATTAGCTTAACTGTTAATATCTAAAAATATTTTTAATGATATATAATTTATTAATTTGAAAAATTGAAAAAATTATAGAAAGACAAGAAGAAGCAACTGTTAAAAGAATAAAATTGGAATATGATGATATTGGTTCATCTGCTCGAGAATACCTAGGTGTTTGGGAAACAATTGTGAATAAAGAAAATCGTAAATTTGATGTAAAAATGTTACGTCAGGCTATAAGACAAGGTAAAAAATATTTTATTTGATTGTTAAATAAACTAAATTTTAAATGTAAATTGGTTTAATAATCATAGGTGTTCCAAGGAGTAAAAGAGGAGATGTTTGGATATTTTTTGCTGAATTATATTGTAATACAACTGCTCCTTCTCCCATTGATTTGGAGAAATTTCCAAATTTTAATGTTCCATATGAGCAATTATTAAAACAATTAACAAAATATCAACATGCTATTCTTATTGACTTAGGTATGTTTAAAATTATTTTCTATTATGTAATATAAAAGAATAAAAAATTGTAAGTCCAAACTAAATAATATATACATTTTAATAAGACATTTATTTTTTTTAAATCTATTACTTATGTAATTTATTTAATTCCATTTTTAGCCAAATTTATCTATATTATTTTTTTTTTTTATGTTTTTCTTATTATTAATTAGGAAGAACATTTCCAAACCATACATATTTTATGTCACCATTTGGTCCTGGACAGTTAGCTTTGTACAATTTACTTAAGGCATATTCTTTATTGGATCCTGAAGTTGGATATTGTCAAGGATTATGTTTTGTTGCTGGAGTTTTGCTATTACATGTATGTCAAACATTCATTGAGTTCAAGAAATATAAATATAATGTTTTAATATACATTTTGAATTATCTAGATGTCTGAAGAACAAGCCTACATGATGCTAAAACATTTAATGTTCAGACGTTCATTAAGAAAACAATATCTTCCTGATATGGCTGCTTTGCAGGTACAACTTTACCAATTATCTCGACTCCTTCATGATTACCATCCAGACTTATATGCACATTTTGACAATTGTGATATTCCTCCAACTTTATATGCTGCACCATGGTTTTTGACTATGTTTGCTTCTCAGTTTCCATTGGGATTTGTTGCTCGTATTTTTGGTAAAAATACTATTTTAAGCTTTCTAATAATTTAATAAAATACTATTTCTTATATATTTTGTGTAGATATACTATTTTTTGAAAATATTGATGTTCTTTTTCGCATAATATTATCGCTGCTGACATATCATAAGGATAATTTACTTGCATGTGATGGAATGGAACAAATAATGAACTATATTAAAATTGATTTTCCTATTGTAAATAAAGAAATCATTGACAAAATTATTAAACAGGTACATTAAAATTGTTATATTAATTTTCTTTGTAAGAGTAAAATACCTATCCATAATTTTTAAATTTGAATATAATAAATAATACATTTAAATGTATCTCATCATATGCTTTTAATAAAACATATTTTTCAAATCTTCAGAGAAGTTTTTAAAAATAGTTTACTTGCTAGGTTGTATTAAGTAAAATCATTCTTAAATTTGTTCAAAACCTTGCACATCTTTATTTAAATAAATAAAAAAAGGTACATTTGCTTTCATTTATTAGTGTATTTTCCTGAAAATGAGACTTTAGTTTTAATAATTGATAACTAAATAATATTAATATAATATTATTATTATAGCTAGGACCCGAATTTCAATGCAAAGTGAACATTTTTTGGGCTGTTCATACACAATGCTCTTTAAGAACATAATTCGTTTCATGTAACGAGGGCTTCAAAACTACAAATTTTATTTTGCATTTTTTTGCATATTTCGACGTTTTTTCATTTTTAGAGCATTTTTAGTATTATAAGGTCATTTTGTTGGTTTTTAATGCATATTTGTTCGATATACTAAACAAATTTAGCCTATTCAAAATAAAATCAAAAGACAAATTATTTTCTTGATATTTAAGTATGTTTATCAGGTTTTCCATACACATTGTCAATCTCTCATCAATTGTCAATTGTTTCATTTATTTCATAAATTATCAATCTATTTTTCGATTCAGATTTTATCTTATCTTAATTTATTATTGACTATGGAACGTCACCAGTATTCGATCAAATAAATAATCAGCTAGTTCGTATTATCTCGCAGATGTTGCTCGTATTACGTGTATATGTGATTTTAATGTATTAAATAGTGTGTTAAATAATGACCAAAATAAAAAAAAATATGTCATTTTTTAATTTTTAATGTAATTTTTGTGGTAAAATGTATTATTTAAGGACATTTTTGGCTACTTTTTAGAGGATATTTGTATGGTTTTAAGTGCATTTAAATTCGGGCTCTAATTATACAATTTGAAAATAATTAAAAAAATATGTAGAGTAAATTATAAAATACCTAAATTGAATTAAACTCACCCTTGACATTTCAACTGTAGTGAAAATATGGTAAATTATATACTTCTTTGTATTGAAATTACACTAATTTACGAATTATATTTTTAAAAGGTATTTACTACTGATATATCTAAACAATTAATGGAATATGGAGTTGAATATCATGTCTTACAAGAAGAATTGTCTACGCCTAATCCTGAAATTAAAAAAATTAAACATTTAGAAGATATGAATAAGACTTTAATGCAACAGAATAAAATTTTACATGAACAACTAGAGGTAAAGTTTCTTATATTTATATGCAACCGTCAATGATGTAAATTAGGGAATAACGTATATGTCTAGCCAATATCATAAATGCCTAACATTAATAGACGATAATGTCAATTCCTAGGCATTAACTGATAATGTAGGCAATATTGTAAAAATCAAATGTTTTGTTAATACATTGACTACTATGACTAGTTAATTATTAATTACTATTAATTAATTAATTACCTTAATATCTAAAACTGATTGATAATTTTGTTTAGTGAAATATTAAAACTGGGTGAGAAATTTATAAATATAAGATAAATTATACATAATATTTTACTTTCACAATTTATTCTGCTGTGACGTTTTGAATTGCATAAAATATTAATTTTTTACAATCACATCTATTAGTTTTGAATCCTGTTTTACAAATACATCTAGTATATCCTTTTAATTCCAAAATTCCATAGTCAACACCTTCTTCTTAACCTAAACTTCTTTTAATTTAATAAATTGATTTTACAAGACTAGGCCATTTATAATTCGACAAAATAATAATTGATTAACATTTCTATCAATTACCTGAAACAGTCAGAAATTATTGTTAGTAGCTAGTATATATATATTTTTAAATAATGGAAAATAATGGACATTAACGTTAATTCTTAGTCCATATATGCTGTTTAATTTAATTAAAAATGTCGTTATTGGCTAAGCATTTACATAAATTTCTTAATTTAGGTCTTTTCCATTAATATATATATATATATATATATATATATATATATATATATATAGATATAATTAAAAACATTTAAAACGTTTTCAGATTGATGGCTTTTTCTTGAGGTTAATTTTATGTCATTAATAAATTTAATTTAATATAATCACAAAATATTACAGTAAATAGTTAATATTTACAAATCGTATTTTTTAAATATATTTAAAAAAAATTGTTTATACATTTATTTTTTTTTATTCTAATATTTTATAAATATTATTTATGTAAATCATTTTAAAAAAGCATAAAAATATGATATTTAAACTATTTTCAATGTAATTTTTACTGTCTTATAAATAGTGATTAAATTAAAAGTGTATAAATGAATACTGATTATATTATGAATGTACAAATTTACGTTTACAGCATACAATCAATAACTTTTATGACATAAATTGGTATGTAGGTATCTATGATATTTAATAAACATATTAAAACACAAAAGCTTTTATTTTTATTTGATAATTGGAAATAAAATATTCGTTTTATAATAAAAATTAAGATTGAAGTATAAATATGAAAACTTTAAAATATATTTAATTTGTCAGTTAAAAGTTAAATTTGTATTTAATTATCAATAGTTGTATATTTTACATTTAACAATGTTCACATTATAACCAGTGTTTGGAATGTTTACTTAAAAATTTAACTCGGTTCACATTCAGTGTGTACAAAAGGAACTCGTTCACGTTTAAGTTCTATAAAAAAAATCATTGTCGGCGTGAGGGGGGGGGGGGGGGAGCGTCGCCCTTGCGCTTTTATGAGAGCCTCTCTACTCGAAATTTGATTTTTTTTTAATATCATAATATAAACTTTAAATAATGTTGTATGTAAAATAAGAATTCGTATTTTTATCATTAATGTAGGGGGTACTTACATATTATATAAATAATTATTTTTACGGGGATTTTGAAGATTACGGTCACTGTCTCAAAGAAACCGTCATCGATCGTTCTTCTGCACGCACGGTCGTCAATCAAAACAGCGAGAAAAGATAACGTAGAAAACACGATATTATTAGATTAGTTGTTAATACGATAAAGATATATCATAAGAATTTATATCAGATCAAGCACTTTGTTCGAATGTCATATTATTCTTCTACCCTAGTATCCTTTCTTATAATTACCTAACGGTATAATTCGCCCAAGGCCTCACGAAAGCTAGCGCCCCCTAACCTATGCCTAACCCCCTCTCAAAAGTACACCATTGCCTATATTTAAACATAATATAATCATTATTAATTATACATATATTTTTATAATGGTAAATAAATTTGAACGCCTTTCGTTTAAATTTTCCAAAAAATATAAATGTCGTTCACGTTTACAGTCTATTAAAAAAAAAGCGAGTATCGTTCACAAAATATGAACGTGAATGTGCATTCACGAACGACGTTTTTTTCCAAACACTTATTATAACCAAATAAATATAGCCATGTAAATTTGATTACTGTTTATGCTGTTTCAAATAAAATACTTATACTTATATTTTTATAATAGCTAAATGCTCTTTTTTTTTCAGATATCAATAACAAATAATGGTCGTTTGGAAATGAACAGATCATCTAATATTTCTGCTATTAATCGTTTAGAGAGTGAAGTAAAGAGTCTAGAGTTGACAGTGGCTACATTGGGAAATTTTATATCTGAACTAGCTTATACTCATTCTGATATAGAAATACCTCCTGACGTATTAGGTTTAATTTCACAAATAAATATGTGTCAAAATCGGCGAAATGACAAACAAACAAATGTTAATAGGTTGTTCAATAAATCTCAATTAGAAATACCATACAAAATTAAACCTGTATTGGAAAAGTCTTTATCAGACTCAAAAAGCATAATAAAGAAGTCAATTAAAGAAGAAATAAATCGGGAGGGAATTAGCAAAAAAAATTGTTTAAAAACTACAAACAGTAATTTTGAATTATTTAATACCCAAAGTAATTTAAATAATAATGGATTGCATCCATTGGACTGTGAAGATGTGAATGTGTGTTATTCTGGAACAACTAAATTACGAACAATTAATCCTGTCCGGAGTAATAGTGATGGAAAATTTATTCTACCTAATATAATTGCCATAGATGTAGATAGTTCACTTTGTAATCGAGATGATAATGATAATATCCAACTTAATTCTTCCACTATTAATGGAAGTTAAAAAATGTGTATATTTTATATATATATTTTGTGTATAAATTTATTTGTACTTATAAAATGTATCGTCCACTTATTCAATAAATTATTCTTATTTATTTGTAATAAGTTCTATTTTAATTTGTATTAGTGTCTTTCTCAATTAAATTTTAAATGTTATACTTAAATTGTTTTATGTGTTATAATCTGTGTAACTGAGTGTCATAATTGTTTTTATGTGTTGTGTAATACCTTATGAATCAATATTCTTAAACCTTAAAAAAAATTAAATAAAACACTAAATCGAAAATTAATTCACATCAAGTTTTTTTTGGATACCTAATAAAAGTGTAAGCACATGCATTTTTATTTAGGGTTAGTTGGGGTTAGTGCGTCATTGGGGTAACTGCGTTATTTCAATTTATAACAGATAAATATATTGTAGCAGACATTAATTAAATATCGAATTAAATATTACTCTGAACATGTGTTTATATATAGCAACATTTAGTATAAATACTTGAAAATATAGGTTTGATTAAAGAAATTTCGTTTTTAATATCAAATTTTGTAATATGACATTTTAAGGTCCGGTCAAACAGAAAACGGACAATTAAGAGAACCAGTTTGAAAACTGCACTAAAATGTACTGCTGGTAATTTTTTCTTTTTCACTTAAGCCTTAAGTCAAGCTAGAAGAAAAAAAAGAAAATTACTTTTAACTGCATCTTTATTATCTGGGTGATTTATACAAATAAACGCATTCATGCACAAGAACAATCAATCGTTCCGTTTCATCAGCCATCGTTCTTTTTTCGGTGCACAGTTTTAAATGAATTACTTTATTTCAATTTATAGCTTGTACACAATATTATATATTTTCTTCGTTTCTTGTATCAAAACAAGTTATTTTGATGTTATTAATATCGTTGATAAATTTTCTAGAATTTACTATTGGTTTAATTGAAGGTTTCTAAGAACTTTTATTCTAATAATATATTTGACTAGTATAGTATAGTCAAGTTATTAAAATATTATTAATTATTATTATATTATCTATATATAATATAATTTATATTTAAAATATATTGTTTTAATTATGTATAATGTATACATTTTATTCGAGTCCGCCGCGTACTTCGTGAAAAAAATACAACCAGTTTGTCTGCAGCGGACTATACAAGGCCGCTATCTGTTTAACCAACATGATACATTTAAATAGTGTACACCAATGATGCCCAACCTTTTTTCCTAAGGCGGGCCACTTTAGTAAACAATTATCTTCAAGCGTTAATTAATTACAAGATTTTCATCAAATATTTTATAATAAACTACATTATAAAAATAATATTTTATTTGTATTTCATAAGTATACAGGTAAAAAGTCAAAAGGTTCAATAGCATAAATTCATAAAAATAAATGTAGCATATATTTATTATTAAGTATTTGATGAAAATCATGTAATTAATTTTTAACTTTATAAGTGGAATTTAACTACGGTAATCACAAATTAACTAATTAACTTAAACTAGTTAAACTAGTTACCAAGTCAATTAGCTGGAATAGTTTTTTGAAATTTTATTTGAATGTTTGATCATTGAATATTCAGATACACGATTATCTCTAAATTCATAGTATAACCACAGATTATATTAAACTTATTGTATTAATATAATGTGATATAATCTACTATTTTTACTATACTCAAAATGTGGTGTACGCATGAACATAGAAATTGCACGGACAATGTTCATGGGTGTATGGAAGATAATGATTACATCTGTGATATCAGAGATGATACGAATCGGGTCGGCACCATAGAGTCTAAGAAGATATTACGGAAAAAAACGGTTTTTATTCCATGGAAATTATAATATAATAGAAGGCTATACCTATACCACGGACTAAAATAATACCATAATATAATAATTATTATATACTATGATAATACCCCATATTTACCTATATTTTTTTATCTATGCCTATTATCTTAGTCCGTGCTATGCACAGATATGTACCTTAATTGTATGAAAGTAACCTTAAAAAATTTAACTATTTGAAAAATAATCGGGGATAACGGAATTTATATTACATTATCCAACCACGACCACTAAATTTATTGACTATCTATCGTCGACCACTTCCAGTATTCATTCATTGAGGTCGTATTTATTGACTATTACAAATCACCGATAGTTAAATTAAAGTTTGCTAATGTTACGCAAAATGTTGTTATGTACTGACGTATTTAAGTGAATACAAACGTTGCACGTGATCAAAATAATTTTATAATCGTGTTCTATTTGGATGAAAAAAATTGAAGTAAGTGTCATTCAGATCATTTGGGTTACAATTTTACGTAATGAAAATTTTTACGTATTTCACGTCTACAAGGGCACGCGTTTTGAATTCATTAAATAATATTTGTTAATTTCTGTTTAAAAATTCTATGAACAATGATAAAACAATAATAAACTATTAATATATATTGGCGTTTGTAGCCTTATTAATATATTTTATATTTTTAGTACATCTGAAAATATGATCTTAATGAATGAAATTTACCTTTGTAATGTAGAAATTTGGGTATAGCTTTATTTGAAATAAAGTTTATTTTTTAACAACTATTACATAGAAAAATATTTAAAATGAAATATTATCAAAATATTAAAATACTCCATTCTAAACAAGTTGACTGTTCATATAATTTAATTTTTAGCAGGATGAAATTTAATTTTCAACTTGAATGAGTTTCCATTATGTTGAGTATTTAAAACAAAGATTGTTGTCTATTTTGGTATTTTGTCAAAAGATCTCTCATTTATGTTTAAAATAATTGGACTTGAGTTATTATTATTTTACTACATATAATAAATATATCAAATTTTAATTTGATTATGTTAATACCAATTATTCATTTTAGGCATTAGGTGTTTAAAACTAATTGATTATGTATTTCTCATAACTTGGTTTGTTAAAAATTATCCTGTAATGAATAAACGGCCATAATACCTTGTTTTATCAATCTATTATTTATGATTCTATCAAATAGTTTTCATTTGTGGTATATTATTTTAATTGAAAATGTTACCTTTTGTACAGTGTACTTATAGTTTTTTTTTATAGTTTTTTTTTGTTTTACTTTTTTTTTTAGTGTTTGGTTGATTACAATATTTATACATAATGGTTGCCAGTGTAGCATGTGATCTACCGCTTACATGTGCTCTACCTGTGATCTAATCATTACTATCCAGTTCTTTATCAGTAAAAAAGAGACATACCTATCTATATGCTTCAGTCACATTTAGATCTGTATTGTTGAAAGGTGTGGCGGAAAAGTGAACCAGATTGTTCATTGCTTTTTTATATGTTGTGCGTGCTACATTCATAAATAGCGACTAAAACGAAACTTTTATTTTAAATATTTATTTAATGAAACTTATATTATGTGGATATAATTACATAATTCAAAATCTTGAAATTATGATTTTTGAAATATGTGTGAACCCACCTCCTCGTGGTGTATTTTTAAGTGGCTCACAAATCGCATTCACCTAAAACAGGCTGGTAGATCGCATTCTACTCTGGTACCACATAATGTCTTAAATCTTTTATCAAATTTAATTTATTTTCTCAAGGATTAAAGTATTTTTTACTCAGCCTGTTTAATACTCTGAATATTTCATTGTAAAAATTACGTAGGTATAAGGTATATTTTAGTATAAATAATAATTAATCGTAATAGTTAAGAATTTTGACTGTTATATTTAAGTCAAGTTTTTTTTATTTAGATACCTATATGTTTTGTCTTATAGATTTAAAAATTTCAAATGAGTACTGAATTTGTAGAAGGATGGACAATTGCTCAAACATTAGGCGAAGGAACATTTGGCGAGTAAGTTAAAATTATACATATGTACTCGTGTATATATATATATACAATGCTTGTCTTGAGGGGGAATGCAGGGGGACGGAATACCCATTTTAATGTTTAGAAATTTTAGTGTCCTCCTTCTACATAATAATTATAACGCTTAACAAGTTTTAGGGACGTAATTTTTTTTTTTTAAGCAAACAGTCCCCTTCTTTAATTTTGCCAAATCAAGCACTGTATATATATATATCTGTTTAGATACACTTTCATTTTTATTACCTTAATCATAGTTTTAAATATATTTAAAATAAAGTCACTTATTAGTAAAATTTGACTTTGATAACTTAACTAAATGCCATTTAGTTCTATTTTAAATTTTATTTTATACTTAGGGTAAAACTTTTGATAAACCCAAATACAAATAGCACTGTAGCTATGAAAATAATTGACCTTAAAAACTATCCTGATGCATTAAGTATGGTAAAAAAAGAAGCAGCTATACATTGCAGATTGAAGCATTCAAGTATTATCAAGTATTTTGGTCAGCGCCATAGCAAAGATTATTACTATATATTCTTAGAGTATGCATCTGGAGGTGAACTATTTGATCGAATTGGTATGTTTATTTAATTATCTTTAAAAATCATAAAATAATTTCATAAATTAAAAATAAATAAATAATTTTAAATACTAAAAATTATTTTATAAAATAGAACCTGACATTGGAATGCCTCAGTCTGATGCTAAAAAATTTTTTAAAGAATTGCTTGCTGGAGTTGTATGTATCTTAAATTTCTAATTTTAAATAATTTTTTAATTTATTTAATATTTTTATTAGGAATATTTACATAGCAATGGTGTAGCCCATAGAGACTTAAAACCAGAGAATTTATTATTGGACGAGCATGGAAATTTAAAAATAAGTGATTTTGGATTAGCAACTATGTTTTTATGTGCTGGAAAAGTAGGTAATATTTATACAGAATGGTAGTTATAACAACGATTGATTATTTTAAAATATAAATTACTGAAATATTTCTTTTGTTTCATTGTATGAAATAATGCAGCAATATTCATTTGTTATAACTAAGACATTTAAATTTAAACCATTACTTAAGTACATTAGTGGAAAAGAATTGTTGATTGGTAAGGAGATATTAATAAAAGAATAACATTTGTTGTTCATTATTAGGGCCCAGAATTATATGCATTAAAAACCTACGAAATATGCATGCATTTATGCGATGGTTATCATTCAAATATGCACTTAAAATATGCGAAATATGCAAACAAAAATGCATGTTTATTATTTATTAAATTTATTTAATTTTAAAATGTATACAATTCATTAAATAATTAATATTCAACAAAAAATATACTTTAAAATATATCAACTGTATTTTATATATTTTATTGAACTGTATGTTGTATTGAAATTAAATTGTTTTTGAACATTCACTCATTTAAACAAAAATTAATTTAAATAAATCAAGCAGATTTTTATAATATTTTTAAAGTTACTATCGTATTAGTATTTTTAGCAAACTTTACCTTATCTTATTATAACACAAAAATCAAATTATATAATTGCATGATTCATGGAATTTACAATGGACATGCGCTAAGTAATAAATAATAATATTAATAACTTCGTAATATTTTTTTCTATATATTTCAGAAAAATGCTAAAATATACATAATAATTTGAAATATTCCAAATATACAAAAATATGCCAAATTTAATTTCATCTACCAACACATTAGATTAAGATTTAAATTTCTGTTTTACCAAGCCACTTTTTAGTTTAATATATAAAAATATGCAAATGCATACAATTCAGGGCCCTATTTATTATTATCTATGAAAAAATATTATACATCACGTATTTCATGAGAACATTTTGGTATTTATTTATTCAAATTTTTATGAAAGTTTTGATGTTGAAAGTAATTTTCATTATCCGTGTACTCGTATAGGCTTTGATACTATAGTACAGTAGTATTTATGGACTATACTTGTTAAGTTATTGGGTGAATGGGAAGGTTTTTTTCCTTATAGTGGTTATCTCACCCAGTTATATCAATAAATTATGAGTAGTTACTCCAGTATTGTTTTATGGCTACTAGAGACAACTTTTTATTAACTATTAGTATTTTATGTTTTGAAATACTAACTTATGTTCTGTATATCTTATATTTATTTATTTTTACTTGTGATTTTAATTTATAGCGGCGGAAACTAGAAAAAAGTTGTGGAACTCGACCTTATTTGGCTCCAGAAGTTCTTTCACATTTACCTTATCAAGCTGAACCATCAGACATTTGGTCATGTGGTATTATATTGGTTTCTATGCTTGCTGGAGGTAATTATTTTTAATGTTTTATCAAGTAATATGCACTGAATATATTTTATATACTGTTAATTACACTATTTAATTATTATGTTAATGTTGATCTCTTTGGTACTCTAGCTTTAGGTATATTATAAAAGTCATCATAAAGCTTCTGAATTAAAGTTATTAGCACTTGATACTTGATCAAACTTTTTTTTATTGAAAAAAATTTCACTAAATTATAAGTAGAATATTTATTTTACATATAATGCTATTTGCTATTTTTACTAATATGGGTGGTTTTAGTATTATAATTATTTATTCTCTCTTATAGAATTATCTTAAAAAATATTTTTGTGAATTCACTTTTAAATTTGCTTACAATTATTATCATACAATTTCATTAATCATTAATCAAAAAATTTTAAAAATAACTATGGGTATTGAATGCCTCAATGATATTTTTTAATTATTTTATGTTTAAATAAAAATAAAATGTTGCTATTCTTAAGATAATTACTGAGAAAATTGATAAATATTATTTATTATTACTGCTAAATACCATTTGTATCTAATTTTTGATTTATGAATTTTTTGATATGTGTTTTTTCTAAATTTTCAAAGAGAAAAAAGTTTCAATTTGTCATTCCTTAAATGATAAAATTATATTAAGGCAGGTACACACCGGAGATTTAGGTGTAATGTAACAGAGTTTGTGCTCACTTGAATGTTACATGTTTCAAATGACCGGTGTGTACGTTTTGGATCAAGCATTACTCTGAATCAGTTGTTCACCGGTCTATCCATCAGTTATTTACTGTTTGTGTTCGTGCAACAATTTTTTTTGCATTCATCCAGTTTCCTTGGCTAACTTTTCCCACCCATCAAATTTCACAAATTTGTTATAATATTTTGGATAATTTGGGAATCATAGTATCTGTTTATTTTTATGCCTTTCTATTAAGTCTAACACTTTGTCATTATTCCACTCCACTTTTATATTAAAATTAAATAATACCAATTTATTAATTTATATTATAATATATTTCATTAATTTTAATTAATTATATTTCATTAATTTTAATTAATTATATAATACATTAACTTAAGAATATAATCCGGGCGATATCATCAGGCAATTCATTGCGAGCAACTGGTTTACCGTCCACACTAGTGTCATAATGTAACATTCCTTAGATGTTCGTCAAAATACCGACACATGTATGGATCAACGGCGTCACGAGCCGAATACGCACGGATGATACAGTAACACCGTACACACCTGAGAATTAAAATTACATTACAGCATTATATTACACCTAAATGCTCCGGTGTGTACTCGGCTTTATATTTATTAATTTAAAATAGTCATGTTAAATTAAAAAATTTCTTGACTTAAAATATAAAATGTATGCTTTAGTTTTATTAATCATTAAAGGTATATTAATTTGTTTAAACTTAAGTTTTATATCTTCTAGTAATTTCATAACTTCTTTGCAGGAACAAATAAACTCGTAATAATAGTAATGTTTATTTAGTTAACCTAATAATTTTATATTTTTGTGTAATTCAATTAGTATAATGTTACTATTTATTCATACTTTATTTCACATAATACATTTAATGTATCAACATTAATAAAAAAAAAAATTTTAGAATTACCATGGGAGGTGCCATCTGATGATGATGAAGATTATAAACTATGGAAAACTACTGATTATGCTAATCATTCACCATGGAGTAAATTAGATACTTTAGCGTTGTCTCTTGTGAGAAAAATATTAATACCAACACCATCTAAAAGATATGATATATCAAAGATTCGATCTCATCATTGGTTCAAAAAGACAAAAACATGTGGTATATTTTTCATTAATCATAGAATAAAGAGCATATGAAACAAAATCTAATACACATTCAGGTACCAAGTGACTTCTGAGTAAAATACTACAAGCATCAGTGAGCATGGGGTACCTAAACTGTGTGTTAGAATAAATCGTTCATAGTATTTTCTATAAGTTCATTATGTTTACTAGTAATAATTATACTAATTCAAATATAATTTATGTAGATGATAAAAAAGTTGGAGTTTCTACTTGGGCTGATAGCGATTTTGTTGATGCCCGTACATGTTATTCTCAGCCTGCTCTTGCAGCTAATCAATTAGCTGTATCCGTCCCACCTGATGAATCTGAAATATATTCATTTTCTCAACCAACTCAGGTTGAAGATTTGTTATTATCTTCTCAATTTTCGACATCACAATCGGTTCCAACAACATCTAGAGTAATTAAAAAATTATTTATAGGTGGAAATATTTATTTATATTTTTTATATTTTGTTAACTATTATAGAACTCAATACAAAAATTAGTCAAGAGAATGACAAGATTTATTGTATGTTTATCGCCTGAAGATGCTCTAGCATATTTATCGCAGTTTCTTTATGATTTAGGGTATTCTTGTAAAATCAATACTACTGGATTGGTAAGTAAATGAAGTACACATAAAATAGTTTATTATAATTGCCATTATATTATAGATTACAATTACTACAACAGACCAGCGCTTAGTATTTAAATCCAGTATCATTCCAATGAATCATCAAACACTAATAGACTTCAGACTTTCAAGAGGTTGTGGTTTAGAATTTAAAAGGCATTTTGTAGCCATTAAAAATGGTATGTCTAAAATTATTTCTAAAGGTCCATTAATGTGGCCTGTAGCTATGGCAACTAATACTGTGCCATAAGATTTTAGTAGCATTATACAGTTAAGACTGATGTTTTATAGATATATTTTAAATTATTATTAATATTATTTTCTATGCTGTATTTATTTTTGTAAAAAAAAAAAAATCATGTTTTATTTAATTATATTGAATTGGATCATGTTTAAAAAATAATAGAAAATTTGACCAATTACTTCTAGAAATATCGCAAAAAATATTTTTGAATACATGGTTGTGTGTACATAATTAAATTTGAAATGACCAAAATTGTATTAAATTTGTATGAAGTATTTTTTTATGTATGTTTTAATGTATTACTAATGGTTATAGAGTAGACAGATAATTCCTCACTGTCGGCCGCTTTAGTGAACTTAAGTGGACCACTACTATTATTGGTAAAGTATTCACCTCTCCATACTATGGTAATACATGATGTAATGTACCCAGCTAGGTTATAATTATCATCAGTGAACAACAAATACTGTAATTTCACTGATTATTATAAATTATGTGATTCTCATTAGTTGTGTCTAAGCATAGTTACATTTTCTGTACTTGCATACCGTGAAAAATAAAGCGAAAACAATGGTTGACAAAGTTTATAGAATAATATAAAAATGAGACTTGCTTGTGGCAGTATAGAAATAAGTTTTCAGTTTTTTGGTTCAAACTTGACTGAAGGAAACTAATTTTGAGTACCCTCTCTTTTTTTCATTACATCTACGCTCATTTTAGATTGTAATCAGGAACTTGCACTGTATTACGCCTACCTCCGATATTTCTGAACCTTTGGCCACCCTTGGTTACCAGTCATACAGTCTTACAGTCATAAGAATCTTGAATAGGGGCGCCGGCAGAAATATAGCTCAGCGAGAGGCAAAAAAAATTATAAATAAATATAATTTATGGAAAGATTTACCACTACCTCTTTCATATGCTCATATTTTGTAATACTATCATTAATAATATTCTAAAAATCTAAGTTAATATAAAATTACACTTTTAGTTAAAATATTTATAAGAAAAAACATGGTAAAGTTTAAACAAAAAATAACTTTATTTGATCAAATTTACATCATATTTAATTATTATTATCATCATACTATTGGTTTTTTAAACGGTGTAAAGTGCTGAAATATAATAAATAGTCATTGTTAAATAAATAATTTATATACTGAATAAATTTGTAAAAATGTTGTAACTGGCATAAAAATCTGAGGAGAGGCGATAGTCCCCACTGGCTCTCCTGTCCGCACGTCTTGAATATATTAAAAATGAATATTGCTTTACCACTCTTTTACGAGGATTAACTAACTGAAAATAAGAACGACATTTTTAATATATTATCTCTATTTAATATTTTGGTTAAAATCGAATATCCATACCGTAATTCGGGGCCCGCCTCAATGCCACAATAAATGAAAATTTAATCTGCAATACTATCTCAATCAGATCGTGTCTTAGGGGGGGGGGGTGCGAGAGGTGCGTATACACCGAGTGTCAAAAGCTTTTTCACAATCTAAGTAAAATTACTGAAAGTTAACCATATTATTTAATTCAAAATATTTAACACGTTTAATGCCATGGTCTCGCGCGTAATCGACATCATTAACATTGTCTTGATCGGCGGTGTTGCTAATTTATTTTTAGTATTGGTATTTATTTTTACCCCGAAATTGACGAGATGACAAATTAACAATAATATACCATTTTTAAAATTATTAAAATAATAAAGATTGTATAAAGAAATCAGCCTCGTGAATGAAGGAAATAATTGGAATGAGAGCAGATTTTGAAATTTAGAATGCTGAAAGTATTGAATGGGTTATTGAGAGTCTAATTAGGATATTGCGTTTGGTAGGTAAGAAAAGGTAGTCAAAGAGAATATAAGGTAGAATATAGATTTTTTTTCTAAATGGAGTGTGGAAAGAATGGGATATACAGAACGATTTCGGAGAACGAAACTTGACGATAAGGGGCCCATATGAAAATTCCAAACTTATATTATTATTTATTATTATTATATTAAAACAGAGTGAGGTAGTTGAACTATACTTTGTCTGGTATAACGGGAATTATAGATTTAAATCTAGAGGCGAAATTCGCGGGTAACTTGTTCAAGTAGGTAAACCAGAGTGAGAAAATATAACATCGAAGAATCAGTTATATTACTTATATTGTTCTTTAGTCGTTGATTATTTCTTTTATTAATTTAATAAATACAAAATAAGTAGTTACATAAAACCCCATATTCTTAAGTAGACTCCTTATAGTTTAAACTTAGCTATAATTATAAGTTCAAAAATATTTTGTAGAGGGATGAGGGCGCTAAAAATGATTTTTGGCACCGGGCGCTAATTATACGAGTCACGGTACTGATCTCAATATTTACTATAATCTACTAAGCGTGCATGATAATAAAAAATTACAATACTAAAGTAACTATCGTGTATACCAGGGGTGTCGAACCTTTTTTGGTTCAAGTGCTAGATTTTTCTTTTTTTAGGTATTAAAAATCGTTCAGGTACCTAAAGAAAATTATATTTTCTAAGAATAAAAATAAAATTACAGATTTATTATATTATTTTTATTAAATTTTAGTCATTCTTAGTGAAACACAAGCAGCAATTGTTTCATCGGTCAAAATATTTCGTTCCTTCGATTTAATTAAAATTGTTATGGTGAATAAGCTTTCACAAACATAAGTTAACGAAAAATATTAAAACATAAGGAATAAATATTATCATTTTTAAAACATAGGGACCTATAAAATTGGTTTCTATGAATTTCTTATAGCCAACATTTTATATATAGTATAATTATTTTTTTGTGTACAAGTTTTAATAATTTCAATTTTTTGCGTGTGCCATTATAATATGGTCAACGTGCAATCTTTGGCACGCGTGCTATAGGTTCGCTACCCCTGGTGTATACAGTATACATAACGTGACCATATTTTTTTTTCTTCAAAGCGGGATACCTGTACATTTTAATAAGAAAACCATATCGTTTTGCGAAAAATAACAATTTTTTTATTGGAAAAAAAACAAACTATTTGTATAAAAATGGCAACAGAAAAACGGAACTAATATATTAATAAGTATAATAATAATAATAATGTAAAATAAATAATAGAGTACCTATATTATTCGGCTGGTTTCCTATATTTGTCGGATCTACAAATCTGCTTTAAAGTAGCCTGTTTGGTTTGTATGTAAGAATAGAACTCTTGACATGATTTGTTTATGTTACCCTTTGTTATGAGAATGGCTTTTAATACACAGAATCCCAACTGAGTTTTTTCAGTGCTCCATATTTTATTCATATGAGAGAACACTCTTTCAACTGGAGCGTTACTGCCTGCCAGACACAAAATGTATTTAACAATTATAGAAAAATTCACGTGTGAGAGATCATTAGCATTAAAGTGCATAAATACTTCCACTCAACGATTTTCAGTAGGTATATTCCCGGTGTTCCAGTCGTATATTTTTTGAGCTGTTATATACTTAGAAATTAGTGAAAACTCGTCAAACACTCCTGTGTCTTGACTGCTACTTATAAATTTCTGTTCAATAAGTAAGTCCATCACTTTTTGTACGTATTCCCACAAGGGAACCTTTCTCAGATTTGCCCATTCAAATTGTTTTACTTCTTCGTTGAACTAACACCACTGCTCCAAATATTCTTTGCTTGTTTTATAAAAATTAGACGCTGCAGTTCTTACGTTTTCTTTATTTATATCACCAGTTTCTTGTAATTTTACCATTATATTACGGGTGGCGTGGGGAAGATAGCATGAATTTTGTTTTTGATCTAAATTATTTTGAAGTTGATTAATTTCATTTGCGGCATCTATTGCAGACACGTTTTGGCTCTCGATCTTTAATACAGCATGATGAAAAGTAGCTGATTGGGCGTGCATAAAATACAACCATAATTCAGAGTTGGGATTATCAAAAAATTCTTTCAGTATATTTGGGCATTTATCAATGCTCAAAAAATAATTTTTTAATGGCTGAAACATTTTCAAAACTCTTTCCAGTGCAGGCATCAACGCAAGCAATCTAGTTTTACTATAACCAAGAAGTTTTTTGTATTCTTTAAGAGCTTCAACACGAACACTATAAATGTAAAAAAATGAATGTATTTTTACAATTATGCATTCAAAATCAACAGGTAAACAATCTGCAGCTGTTTTAACTGCATTGTGGATTATGTGAGCTCCGCATCCAATTCCTATGAGAGTCCTTCCAAGAGAGGTGTTCAATTTTGCATAAACGTTATTAACTCCTTTTCTATTTTTCCTCCAAATTTGCAGTTAGTATTGTCCCCACAAAACGCAACAATTTTTGACGTCAGTTCATTTTTAGTCAATACTTGTTTTAAATAATCCACAATTATATCTGATGTTTCACCCGGTTGCTCTTGAAATTCTAAAATCTTTACTTGCACTCCTTCATACGGTAAAAAGTAACGAACTAAGACAGGGAATAATTTTGTAGAACCATGGTTTGAAGCGTCCGTAAGTAATGCAATTCGCTTTACGGAGATGGTCGTTTAACTCATGTATTGCCATAGGCCCCAAAACATTTACAATAGCCTCGGACTTAGTGCGAGCACATCTAAATTTTTGCTTGAAACATGTTTAATCTTGAAGCACAATCATTCGAACGAAAACTATGACTTTTCTGTACAGTATGATAAGCCCAAGTGGCTTCTGCCGCAGCAACTTCAAAATCCTTAGAAGAAGGTGAATCCGTTTTTTTTAAAAATGTGTGCATTGATGAACTTGAAGCAGCAGCATGGTCGGATAATTTGTGTTTTTCTGACAGTAAATGTTTTTCAACGGCACCAGCACCACCATGTGCAACACTAAAATCAGTACGACACTTTTCACACGTGACGTCGGAAGGATCACTTCTTTGTTTCACAAACGGATACTTGGTTTTTAATTTATCATTAAATGTACACTTTCGTTTGGGCATTTTAAAAACTAAAAGATCACGTAAAGTCGTAAAGAACGTCAACTAATTCGAGGTACAGGTGTACAGCGCGTGACAAGGCAACGGAACAACTAAGATAATAATAATAATAATATGTGTAGGTATTCGGCCGTATTCCATTTATCGCCGATCCCGCAGTTGACGCGGTGGCAGCGACAATAACGATAAGATAGTTATTTTTGTACCACTTTTATCTATGGACTATGGGTTTTAGTGTTTTACGTAATACATATATATATATATATATATTACGTAGTTATACTATACGTCTATACGACTATACAGTATAATAGTATAAATAATGTATGATTGTGATTTGTGATCAATAAATACTTACCACAAGTCGACTTTTCTTAAAGCGGGACTGTCCCGCTCAAAGCGTTAAGTATACAGTATACTCTAAACGTATGACCTAAACTATCATTCTAATATTTTTATATTTCAAACATTTCTTCGTTAATTTAAAAAAATTGTAACTACTTGGATCAGCTAACTTTGTTAAATGAGTATTAGGAGCACTGTGGGGTGAGGGAGGCACAGGACTATTTTGTTCTAAGTCCCAGTCTAGAAAAATTTAAAGATGGTTTCTTATAGTTTAAAGTTTAGACTATTAACTGATTAGAAATACTCGGCGTTACACATTAGAGTTTATTGATATTAATATATTATTTCTAAATTTTTTCTTTATGACATATTAATAAATTTATTAAATTTATATTTGAGCATTATAGCATTACCTAACCATTATATATGCTACATTTTCAGTTATTCTACATAATTATAACTATCATCTATTATGGTTTTTGCTGGAATGTGTAGAATGACAATTTGTTATCCTTATTTACGTAGAAATTCGTTATTGCAAGTATCGACGCGACAACACCTAAGTTCTTATTTTCTGTGGCTGTTTATAAAGTATCATAGAATAAATTTAATTTTAATTAAATGCGGTAACTAGTAATGAGCCATGAGTAAAACACATTGATGAGAAGTTATTAAAAATGTAATTCATTATATCGATACATTTAAATGACCTGTATTGGTCGAGGTTTGGAAAACTATATTTACCAACATTTATTAAATTTTATATGTATTTATTTTATTCTACTTGTATATTTATTCACTTATATTATGTCTCTGCGTATATTATTGTGATGATGGCTCCCAAATTAATGTACCCCAGACCCTAAAAAGTCTTAGGACGGCCCTGAGAGTACCAATTTGATTTCTAAGTTTGAACCATTTTTATCCGAATCTTTTTCACCTGCCTAGTATTTTATTTTAATATCAAGTAATTTTTTGAGTACTTATTTAATAGCAATCTAAACTTGTTCAGATGACATTTAAAATTAATAAAAAGAAGTAAAAAGCTTCAACAAATTTGATTTTATTTGCAATCAAAAAAATAAATACATAATACTACATGATAGTGATAAAATATCTCACTATCACTGTGTTAACCTTGTAACTGGTGACGGTACACTTTCGTGATAGTTGCTATCACCGTGTGACCACGCTTCTACTATCATCACACTATCGTGAGATGAAAAAGTAATTATATCAAATAAATATTTACTACCTACCAAATAAATAAATAATTTAATTAATTATTTTTTTTCTATTTTTTCATTTTGAAAGTACTTAAAACTAACGTTATGAAAAAACAATTCGATATATTTAAATTTTTGGAAGAATACGAGAAGTTTCATTGTTTATGGGATAAAGATAGCGCTGATTTTAAAATAAGAGCAAAAAGAGACAGTGCTGAAGAATATCTACTTAAGACTTTTAACATAACTACTGTGAAAGAATTAAGACAAAAAATAAGAAGTATAAGGTAATATTTTATAAAATTTCTAAGCTACCTATAACATTGACTTAGACATATCTTTTTTTCCTCGATTACAACATTCATATATTATCTTTCAGATGCACTTATAATCAAGAAGTGTCAAAAATCAAATCATCAATTACAACCGGGTCAGGTTTAAATACCGTATATAAACCAAAATTGGTTTGGTTTGAATTTGCAAACAGTTTTTTAAAAAAAACTCATCAAAATAAAAATGAAACATATACTAATTTAGTAAGAAAATATTGCTTATCTTTGCAGTAAATTATGAATATTAAAAATAAATAAATTATGAATTACAAAACATAATTTATTTTTTATTTAAATGTCTATGAGATATATTTAAAATGTGCAATTTAACAAAGTTAATTTCAAAAAATGTTAGGTTTTTTTATACACAGAAACAAAATATTTTTCAATATATTTATTACTTATTCAAAATATGTTACTGATCTAGTATAATTCCACCGTCAGTTCATTGTCAAATATTTGGGTGTCACTAACTATAATATTTTTTTATATTAATTGTTATATTTTTATAAAAATAAATACATAAATCTATGTATCAACTAAGAGTACGTATCAAAATAAAATTAAATTTGTTTACTAAGTACTACTACTATAATCATAGACCAATGTTATAAACTTAGTTTTTAGGTTTATGGCTATTATGTAGTAACTATGTATTTAAAAATAATTGTTCGTATAATTTATTTTGTTTTTATGGTTGTCCTAGTTCAATTAACAAATGTGTATGTATTATTGTTACAGAATGATTCTACACTATGTTCATCAATGATAGTTGACTTAAATTTAAGTCAAATTGGATTCGATGCACCAAATTCAGCCACATCATTGACTACAGTTAATCGTTCTAAACCAATAAAAAAAAATTCTAATACACTTGATAAAACTTTAACAAACAAGGATCTATTATGTGTTCACGATCATTTTAAACTTCCTGTACAGCAGGACGATCGTTTTGATATTTTTGGGAAAAATGTGGCTATGAAGCTGCGTGATCTGACTAAAGAACAGCGTATTTTTGCTGAAAATATTATTAACGAAGCTCTATTCTTAGGTGAAATGGATACATTGACTATAGACCACAAAATATTAGGTTCTCCATATAATTAATGTCCACTAATAACCACGAGTAACCGAGTACCAAAGTTATGACAATCAACATTAATTTCTTTGAATATTTTTTTTATCCTTTAAATTTAATAATAGGTCAAATACAAGTATAACCTCGATCTTTTATAACATCTTGTAATATTGAATATACATTAGTTTGCCAACTTTTATAGACTTGTGATTAACCTCTGAGTTTTCTAGGTTGTCACTTTACAAAAATATATTTTATATGTAAATTATATATGCATGTTGTACTTCTTTTATCTCTTCTATTCAAAATGTTATTAAGTAATAATAACATTTAATTTTAGTTTTACATTACACGTATTTTAGTATATTTTTTATGAATTTATGAACGCGATAAAGACTGTTATTTATTACAGAATATCCATTGAATTATGTACAATGTATCAAGTGTATTAATGTGACTAACTCAATCTCTGTGTTAAATTTGGTTTTTCATTGTTATGTATTACTAAATATTGCCATGATTAGTGGGTTGAATATAGCTAGGGATCAAACTGCCGGAAATATTTGGGAAAATGTCGGAAAAAACCATTTTTTCCTCAGAATTTCGGAAAATATGGAAAAATTAAATAATATTGAAATAATACATTTCTGAAAAAACCAAAAGTTTTTGGAAATTGAAAAAAAAAACTGGATTTTTGGAAAATTAAAAAATTTTATTTTCACTTAAAAATGAAAATAATTAATATATAAAAAGGTCAATAAAGAGAAACATCTGAATATATTAAGATACAAATTGCTAATGTTTTTGTTGAAGTTGGACAAGAAAAGTTCTTTTTTATATTTATTTATTAACGTTAAACAATTTACAGTTGAAATAATTAATACAAATGACACATATGTACTAACAATGAAGCAGCGATGATAGTAGTATGGGTAAAATTAAAGGTAATCGATAAATATAAACATAATATATATTTTAATTGTAGTTGATTGCTTGGTGTGCGAGTTGAATTTGCTTTTAAAAGATTTATGTGCTATTACCGCTATAGGTAAGATACTTTTAAAAATTAAAGAAATAATTATGAATTTTAAAAATTCTCACATAATACATACTAGATTTAAAAAAAACAAAATAAAATCTATGGTAAAGCTTCAGTATCAACATTATAATTACCTAGTAACACTAGAAGCTTTCAAAGAAACAAGTATAGCAGTTGGATTAAAAATAATTATAGATAAAAAAGTGAAGCAATATATACTATATGATTTATTGCATTGTTTCCAATTTTCATTATTTTTTTGATACTTTAAATCTATTTTTCATGACATTTTTAATTTTTCCTGAAAAAAACTAGTTTTTTTCTTCAAATTCTTTTTTACCAGAAATTTTGAGTGGAGCCAATTTTCCACAATTTTTCTGAAAAAATATAGGTATAAAACATACAAAAATAAATAAATATTTAATTTGTTGTTTGATAAAATGAAAAAATAATTAAAGGGATCGCAATTGGCATGAACTCATGTTCTGATCTTGGTATACACAATTACACTACACTCCACTAAATATAACTGGAAAATAACTAATAATTTGTTGTTATAAATATTAAAGATAATTGTAATATTTACCCTAAATGCTTATATTAATATATTTTTATGATTTATAACTTAAAATTATATGAACTATATGAATAGATACAAAGATTTTTTGTAATTTGTATTGTTTTATTGTTTTGTGAAAAAATTAATTTTTCTATAATTCACCCAAAATAATCAAATCTAAGTTAACTTTTAAATATAATCAAAATATAATAAGTAGGTACCTAATTAATAAGTATCAAGGTTGTATAGATTTTTTTTTTTTTTGGAGGGGTCTAAAATAATTAATAAATTTAAAAAATTTAACAAAGAAATTATTTTTAGTAAATATAATAACTGATTGCAGTTGATCGGTACTGTATAATCCGGTAATTGTAGAACATACATTGTGATCCAAGAATAAATAATTAGTAAAATATTGAACACATTTTGGGGATCCAGATCCTATAGATCATTAAACGATTGTATTGTTTAATATGATTATGTAATGGAAGCCAGAGGACATCTGAATTACGATAAGAACAAAAAATTGTAATATAATTTCTGAAATAATTATCTTTTTATTAAAACAATGTTACATTCTCACAGTCAATATTATTTACATTATTTTAATAACCAAAATTCTCTATACTATGAGCAATCTATATTTTCTAAAATCATTGATACTACATTATGTATTTAGGACTATTTGGATAACTCATAAGATTATAAAATATTTGGTTATTAAATTACTATTACACAAAGCTTATTGCTTAGTATAATTTTTTTGGAAAAATTGGAATACCATACTGTATCCTTCATTCAGGAACAACCGTGTTGCAAGATTAGAATGTTTTTTTTTTTTTTTTTGAGAATAATAATTAGAATGTTTGTTTTGTTAAGAATAATTAATTTAAATTATTTTAAGTATGTATTTAACAGTTTAATATAATAGTATAATATTTTTAAGTTGTACCATATTTGAATTAAAGTTATAATATACAAAATAATAATTACCATGGATACTGAAAATAATTTGCATACATATTATTGTTTTCAATTAAAATAAAAGAAAAATTAAATACTAAAATATATCTTTTCTAAACATTAAAGTAGGTACAAATTATTTGGCCACTTAATTACAATAAACGGAGTTTAGAAAATTAACTTTATAACAATTATTTATCACAACATATTTTATGGTATTTGATAAAATTTTTAAATATTTTGATTTTTACGAGAGAATATTATCAAAACAAAACAAATCTTTGTTATTATATACAATTACTTTTAACAACATAATCCTTTTACTAGGATCTAATCTAAAATTGAATAAAAATGTAAAATATTTCTTACTCAATAGATAGGTACATTTAAATGACAACTAAAAACGAGCATAATATATGTATTGAGCATGTTTTTTTGATTTTATATAAAGCAAATAACTAATTTGTATCTAAAATGTGAAGAATGCTAAGGAAAAATCGAAATGTACAGTAAAAAAGTATTGAGCAAAAATATCAAAATAACAAAAAAATTAAATTAAAAGAAATTAATTTACATCAATCTGATATATTTAATAAATTAACAGGTGAAGACAAATTATATTTTGTTTAATAGTTTGAATTGGTAACTTATATTAAAAATTCTGAAAATATTAAGGATTGCTCATTGTAGAATCATGTCTAGTCTTTCTCATTCCTGTATCTTCGCTGCCTTTTAGCATTTTCTGGCTTAAATGCATTGTACGATTGAAATCAATGGCTGTATAACCTGGTATCTCAGTAGGTGATGTAGGTAATGATTCACTTTGTCTTTTAGGGGTGCAAATGGCTATTTCAACTTCAGTATACGTGGGGATGTCTTTTGGTAATTCAAAAGGATCATTGAATAAATCATCATCTTCTTCATTGTCATTTAATATATTAATATAAGATGTACGTGGTAATAATACAGTATCTGGATCTAGCATGAGATCTGGAGGTTGAGGGTTATTGTTTGATTCGCTACTATACCTAAGCCCACTGAAACTGACTTCGTCATAAACTTTTTCAATTGTATGAGTACTTGTACATGATTGACCAGAATAATTACGTACTTCAGAAGACATATCTTTAGCAACATTAGTTCCATTATCAATCTAAAAAAAAATATATATATTATTTCATTCATAAACTTTATTTTATAAGAAAAATTTTAAATTTAAATTTTTTATTTTTTAAATTTTTTTATTAATTTAAAATATATAAAATTACTCTTTAGAGACATAAATATATTTTTCTTTTATAAATATAACCATTGATTATAAATGATACTTATAATCAATTGTATAATTTATATTAAACAGTTGATTCCCACTAAAATTCCAATTAAAATTATATGATGATATAGTACAAATATTTAAGCGCTGTTTCCAATTTATTCCTCGGTAAATATTGTTGATTTGTAATTTATAAAAATTAAATTATTGTTTTTTTGAGAAGAATTCAAATTTAGTAAGTAAATAGTACATTTTACCTGTAATTTTTCTTTGACTACATCAAAAATATTTTTAGCATCTTTACTTCTAAATGCAAATATTCCTTGACCATATGGAGATGAGCGACCCGCTTCAAAACAAAACATGAAATCTTCATATCCATAACGTCTTACTGTACTCAAAGGCCAAACTATAGGAGGTTCTCCATTTTTGTGTAACACCAAATTACAAGTAGTGATTTCCATTTGACCATGATACTTTTCATTACCACTATCATCTATATTTGTAACCTGTAAATTATTAAAGCATAATATTAATTAATTTATTTTACATTATTTAAACTAATGAAAAAATTAATTTAAATGATTGATTACAAATCTTACTTTGAACACACAAGGTGGTAAATTTTTCCTGTTGCTGTAAACACAGCCCATGGCAACAATTACATGACTTGAAAAATATATTTTTAAATATATTTAATAAATATTAGTAGTAGAACGGAAAAGAAATAAACTAGCAGTTATGAGAAGTGGAACTGGAAATTAACTTCAGGGTGCGCCAAGGGTTATCAATTTTATAGTTTATTGTTTATCTTATCATTACATCAATTTACATGGGCTATTTTAAATATTAAAAACATTAAATCGAAATCACAGAATAGATTAAATTAATACAATATAATATGCATATCTAGCTACATTTGTATTATATTTTTATTAGAGCTAGTAAAAAACTCTTAAGGTTACAGCTTAACAAAAAAATTATGAAAATAAGTAGGTAATATAACAGTAGGTACCTACTACATGCTTGGTTCAAATACAAGTGTTTACAGTATATGTTGTATTATAATTACTATTTTTATAATACCTACAAATTGTACAATTTTTCAACCATGGATAGAATCCATTAAATTTATTGCTCCGAATTCATAAAATTACCGATCTTCCAGAATCGACAGAAAAAATAAATATAATTAAATAAAATTACTAATGCTTTGTTTGCCATGAAATCTCAATGACCTTTGTCTACACCGTTTTGGTTTTTTTTTTTTTTATATTTTACTTAAATAATGTTTTTATGAAACTAAAGTCCAATATACATTTATAAATGGCGTTATTGTATTGTACAAAAAAATGATAACTATTAATATTTAATAATTTAATGCATTGTATATAAATATAACAAATATAAAATTTTAAACACATAGTTAATAATTATTATATTTCATTAAAATTAAAACATTATCATACATTTCATATAATTTTATGGAAAATTGTGCTGCTTATTGTCATAATTCTTTATTATACTTAAAAATACATAAAATATAAATATTAGGCAAAATTTAATATGAAGGAATTATAAGCAAATAATTTTTTACTAACTTTTTTTGAAATACCTGTTTGACAATTATTTAACCAGCATTCATTATTTCTTTTCACATCTTGCGATTAAATCTATATTACCAGCTTTATATTGAGATATTGAAGAATTTTTTGTTTACAAACATTCAATTCTTAATTTGTTTGATAAGTTTCAGAATTTGTACATGCAATTTGAAAACAATACGACCCGGCGATACTGATAATTTCACTTTTAAATTGTATTTAACATTCAGAGTTCAGACGTCGAAGGCAGTTATACGATTTTTATGAATTTTATATTTTATATAAAAGTATGAATAACATTTTTAATAAAAGTTAATTGTTAAGCAGTGGCGCCCAGACAGTTTACCATGAAGTGTCAATTGCATGTGCTCTCGTCAGTGGTGGGTATATGGGTGGGTTGGTGGGTATATAATTGGACAACTTTGTATTTGGACATTCCCCCCCCCTGATGATTTTAGCGGTACTGGACGTTTCTCCCCCGGACTGAGACAGTTCCTCCCCTAAAAAAAAATATTTTTTTTTTACTTTTAATTATAGGTTAGACGGTTGGTTCTTTGGTTTTACCCCAGATATACGATCAGTATCTATCGATATAATCATTCACGTTATGGAGTTATAACTTTTATTACCCAATTAAATGGGTAATAATTGATAAACCAAACTCAAATTATCTAAACTATTTACAACATATATTGCCTTTAGGTCTCAGTATAGTTCGTGATATTGTGTGTAGCGTGTAAATTGTTCATTCTTGTGTATTTCAAAATGGAAATAGTAGAAACTAAAAGAGGTGGTAAAAAAATCATATTTGATGATTTCGTATATGTAAAACAAAAACTTGTTAAAGTGGGTATACGTTGGAATTGTGTAAAAAAATCTAAAAACAATGAAAATAATTGTCAAGGAAGTATTACAACTGATGTCAACATTAAAGTTATTGTTTCTAAAACTGACCATAATCATAATGCCTGCCCAGTTGAAGTAGAGGTAATAAAATCATTATCATCAATGAAAAATAATGCAAAAAATAATTCTGAACCCCTTTCTATTATATTTTCCAAACTCGTAATAAATTTATATAACGAAGCAAAATTGTTAATGCCTGCAGAAAACAGCGTAAAAAGAAGTTTAAGAAGAATTAAAAATGCATCTTATCCATCCTTAGTACCAGTAAATGAGTTGAAAGTTACTGGTATATGGGCAACAACAGGAGGTGAAAATCCTCAGCCATTTTTATTATACGACAATGAAAATCATGAAAATAGAATTTTTTTCATCTTCTGAAAGTCTCCAAATATTAAAAACGTCAACATATTGGTACATGGATGGAACATTTTCAACTGCGCCTACAGGCTTTAATCAAGTTTATATTATTCATGGTAAAATGGGCTCAACAACAATTCCTTTGGTGTATATACTTCTTCAAAATAAAACAAAACAAACTTATACCGAAATGCTTTTTGTTATTTGTGAAAAATGTCCAAAACGAGAAGTGATACAATAACAATATACTTTGAAAAAGCTGTCATTCTTGCAATTGAAAAAGTACTACCAAAAGCAAAAATTCACTGTTGCTATTTTCACCTGTGTCAATCAGTATGGCGCAAAATCCAAGAGTGTGGGCAAGTCAAAAAATATAAAGAAGACAAATAATTTTAACGAGATATTGCAATGATAACTGGTCTTGTATTTTTACCAGTCAATTATGTCAAAAGAGGTATGTATACCTATGAGTAATATAACTTTTTTGGTTCACAAATAGTTAATGTAGATTGTGGTTGTGTTTTAGGTATGGAAATTTTATATGAAAAATTTCGTAACCAAGATGCTGATCAAATTCTTACGTACTTTGATACAACTTATGTTAACGGTCGTAACGGTAGATTCGGACAACTTCGATACCAAACATTATGGAGTATGGTAAGCAAATAACATTATTATTATAAGACAAACATTATACTTATACGGCACTGGGTGTAGACATCTTAATTTTAATTAATTATAATAAATCTTAATTTCTTAAATTTATAGTTATTTTAAGAGTTAATTACAGTTACAGACAACAATTTAAACGAATATTTTTAAAAAAAAAAAAAAAATTGGTAGGCAGGGGGTAACTTTTTTTAGTTGCATGTGCTCTCAAAATACTTCTGTGCGCCATTGTATTACGTTCATAGTTAAATATTTTATTTGCTTATGAATCATTTTCTGCCAAGAGTATATGAGTATTAATAAAAAATAAATAAAAGAACTAAGCATATTTTAATGTACTTCTTTTATCGTGATTGAGAAGTATTTATAAATATTATTTATGGTTATAAGACATAATTTTTTATATTTAATCCATATTTCAAATAACAATACATTATTATATTTGTACAAGGTTATATTCTAACATGCATTCTAACAGTTTTAGTAAAAATCGTTTTGAAACTTAAACAAGAATGTATACAAACTATTATAACTTTAACACACTTCAGTATTTCATCTGTTTAAGTTTTAAAATAAATTGTTGTAAATAAAAAACATTTAAATTAAAATAATATTTTTTGGCGGCATACCGCGACGGGAGCAACGATGAGACATGTGGGTAATCTATGTCTAATATTACTTTTCTTATTCTATTCGCGTTTATTAAATATTGTCATTCTTACTAATTGTTTTTTATAATTCCTTCCCATTGTATATATTAATACTAATAAAATAAAAAAATAAATAACTATTTATTTTTCTTTAATTATTAAAGTGTAATTAGTTATTAAAATATTGTATTTGTTCTTTTTATTAGAGTAAACAGCTGAAATCTAGGAACCGATCCTAAGTGAAACGAACTTACGAATGACAATCACTTATCTACTTACTCCCAGGAATAACGGTACGTCGTTTTTATTTTGAATAACAATTGTAAGTATAATAAATTTGATTAAATTTATGTTTTTAAGCTTCGACTTAATTTTTTTATATTTAATTCATTACTTTTTTAAACTTACAATAATTAAGTATTCTCGGTTATGTAAATAATATTTTCCCATTACTTAAATCAATTTTTCTCCTTTCTATATTTATTAAAATTATTAATACTATAAATTTATAAATTCAATTTCAATTTATTTGAATTGGTATTTGTTTTTTTTATTATTAAATATATTTTTGTTGTTAATGTATTCATTTTTATTAACAATTTAAAGTATAATGTTTTTAATAACATTTATTTATGTTTTTTTAATACATGAATAATGTTTAAAATTATGACATCATTTATATATTCCTCTGCCGCGTATTACCAAACCGGCTAGAGAGCTCCATCACCGTATACAAATATGCTCTTTTCATTGGTTTATTTGAAAAAACCGCACAAATTTCTTTTATCAAATAGGTTTAAGCCAACTTCTTAAACAATATAAAATAAGATATAAATAAAACAACTTCTATTCTGAGTAAAAGACATTTAGAAATTATAAAACATTCTTACTTAACCAGTATTATGTTCAGTAAATTGGTTAGTACTTTTTTTTTTTGAAGTATGGTGATGGATAAAATTCTTGTGGAAAATTACCCTACACAATATAAAAGTATTGATTTTAAATATATCTCACAACTTATTTAATTTGCATTTAAATAATATATTACATGATTGATTTTAATATATCTGTCTTATAAAAGAATAATGAATCAACTTAGGTATCATCATATTATAAATTAGATATTAATTAATTGCATTAAGAATTTGGATATAATTTATAGTTACATTATTGTGATATTATTATACTAATTTAAAATGGCATTATGTTAGTCAATGTGCAACATATCAAACTGGGAAAAATTGTATTTTTTTAAGTTACAAAACCCACTACTTATTAACGTTTTTACCAACATTTTTTTTAAGATATTTGTGCCTGTTTATTTATTTTTACGAGTTAATATTATATTAACGATATCAATCGTACCTAGAAAGAAAAATATATTTGCGCGGTTTTTTCAAATAAACAAATTAAAACAATGTATTTGTATACGGCGCTGAGGCTCTAGCCGATTTGGAAATACACTCCCCGGCCCCCAGGCACAAGGAAACCTTTTTTGGCATACTTCTTTTTTCGTCACTGAAAAATATTCAAAAATATGATTTTTACATTATATAATATAGTATATTTTCAATATTTAATCCATATTCCAAGTAAAAATACATTGTTGTATTTATAGATATAAATATAATATAATAAAAAT